ATTAGTTTAGAAAGCGCTATTTCCGCGATGTTCAACAGCGCTCCTCAATGAATTTTGAAAACAGATGGGTCTTGAGATCCGCTCTGAACTTCGCAAGTGATGGAGAAGTAGTCAGAGAAGTAGGTAGAGAGTTCCAGAGAAAAGGACCAGAAAAAGCAAAAGCAGATTTGGCAAAAGAGTGTTTAACACGAGTTAAGAAAAAGCGAGAAAAAGAAGATGATCGTAAACCGGGGCGTTTAGGTTCAATTAATATATCTGATAAATACTTAGGAAATAATTTAGATTGAGACTTATACATGAACGTGCAAATTTTAAAAATTATTCTATATTTTATAGGTAGCCAGTGCAAGAGAACAAAATATAGAGATATATGAGAAAAGAAAGGGGCACGAGCAACTAGACGAGCAGCAGAGTTAAAAGCTTTACTTAAAGGATAGAGTATAGAGTCAGGAAGACCATAGTAGAGCGAGTTACAATAATCAATCCGAGATAAGACTAACGAAGTAACAAGAAGGAGAAGAGTAGGATCATCAAGAAAAGGCAAAAGTTTTTTTTATTCTACGTAGATGAAAGTAAGAGCTTCTAGCAACACTATTAATCTGAGAAGAGAAAGACATAGTAGAATCAAAGATAAAACCTAGACTACGAAACTTATGGGAGACATCAAGAGTTTTAGAATCAGGTAAGATAATAGGAGGAATAGTAATAGAGTGTTTAGATTTATTAAAACAAATTAATTCAAACTTAGAAGGATTAAGTTTAAGACACATAGAGTCAGACCAAGCGATAATTGAAGAAAGACATAGAAATAAATTATGAAGAACACTATTGAGATTAGATGGAGGAAAAGAAATATAAATGTAAGAATCATCAGCATATAGTTGACTAGAGAAAGAAAAGTTATTAATAATACGAGATAGAAGTGTTTGCGTCGTTTCATTGAGCAGTATATATTTCCCTGCACCAATAATGGATGTGTAACGTGAATTCTGCTCTTGCTGCCAAAAATTTTATGATGGAAAAATATGTTAAGTTAATAAAACCAGTTCAAAATATCCTAGCGTTTAGCTTCGTGCTCATCACGGAAAATAAATTAAATGTGCGGCGTAATGGCTGACATACATACCAGCATTTTGATTTTTAAGAGTGGGACAAATGAATATACATATATATTGGTATAAATATACGCTTTTTAAATTTTTATTTCAAAAGGGCTCATAACAATGATTAATGACAAGTTATACAATATAGTTATTGATATTTACACATATATACATATAGGATAAAATATTGTATAAATTCTACCAAATTGTTGGCTTATTTATAGAATTCATACCATATTGTATAAAAAAAATGTTCTCCCTTCAACGTATATATTAAATTAAATAAATACACGGCGTTTTCCTTTGTTGTTTTATTAAATCACAATCATCGCCGATACCGCAAATAAGGCGTAAGAAATTTTTCTTTGCTGTTTCATTAGTATCATAATCATCCCTGACAACGCACTGAAGTAAAAAATGATTTTATTGATGTTTTAGAAACATTCAAAAAACGGCGTTTATGTATATTTTCTTGTGTTTATTAAAATTTGTTATTAAAATGCTATCTCATTATTTCATTATATGTTTTGATTTCGCAAAAAGCAGGGCTAATATGCGTCTCGCGGACACCAAAGCGGGACTCGAAACATGAAAGGAGGGCGAAATTCGGGACAGACCCGCCTCGATTCGGGACAGTTGGCAACTATGGGCCAAGTGTTTAAAGGCACCTAGTCTTGTTTTTTGCATTGCGTGCAGCAACCGTGACCGAGTACAAATATGACAAAAAGATTACCACCTACTGAACGGCTGTGTGGTAATCTACCTAAAATTGGACTGGCAATCTTTTTTATGCCAATTTTTAGACGATTTTGTACAAAAAATTGTATTTTTCCGAGTTTCACTGACTTAACCACAACGCTGTTCACAAAGGGGTCATTTTCCCCCTGGTCTCCTTAGATCTGCCACTGCATTTATATTTAATTGTTTTAAATTTATTAATCGAATTTTTATAGTATTTTTTTATATTTTGCAAAGAAAAACCATTTTTAATTTAAAAAATTGAATGGTTTTATGAGATTAGTTTTTGAGTTATGGCTGTAAATTTTACAATCGAGTTTTAAAGTTTTTTTCGATATTCTGATGAAAAACCATTTTTAATAAAAAAAAGTTTGTTAGACGACCGTTAACAGAAATATATGTGCGTGCGTGTCTGTGTTGTGTATATCAAGTATACCAGGGTATGAACAATTGGATTATTGTATAAAGTGCGTTTGTCGTGAATGTGTGTGTGTGTATGTGGTGTGTGTGTGTGGAGGGTAGGGGTGGTTTGTTTAACAATTGGATTTTTCGGAAGATATTCCGCGTATAAATTTATTTGTTACGCTCTACAATTGCTTTCTCTTATAAGTTTCAAGTTTGAGAAGCTAAAAAATTTTTAATCATATTTAGTAGGCATTTATATGTTTACATTATCTTCTTTTAATCAATATTGGCAAAAGACTAGTCTTTTCCATATTGGACTACTGCAACTCATTGCTATATAGGGTCTCACGCACAACTATCGGGAGGCTGCAATCTATCCAAAGGAAGACTGCTCGACTTATCTTCAATAAACTTTCTCGTTTCAGCTCCTCCACTCTTTTAGTAATGCTTCATTGGCTTCCCGTCTCCGCTCGATTCATTTTAAAAATTGAAGTTCTAACTTTCGAAATATTACCATCAGAATCCCCAGTTTAACTTTACGGTCTCATATCTAGCTACGAACATGCCAGATCGCTTAGCGCATCCTCTAGTTTCTTAAACATTTCTACTGCCAAATCCCAACTCGCTAGCCGCGGCTTTCGTCACGCTGCTCCAAGTGTCTGGAATATGTTACCTCTTGAGTTCAGACAATGTTCTTTGTTGAGCGTCTTTAAAAAAAGGCTTAAAGACTCATCTTTTAAACACAGACTAAGGACGCCTCTTAAGCAGCTGCGTGAATCGGCGCTATATAAATGTTCATATTAATATTATATTATTATTAATAAAGAGACTACTATTTTTTGTTTTTCGATAAGAAATATTGCCGTTCTTCGCGTTTACACAATGGTAGCCTCGCATAGACTTTGCAGTTGGCAACCACTCTTATCATCCACTATTATAATCTATCCATCAAACCACAAACCAATATTACAAGATCAGTTTGCATTTAGCTCTGCAGGTTCATCTACATCCGCCATCATCTCTCTTTTACAATAACATCTTTCTTTAAAAATAATAATTATGTTCATCTTATTGCTCTCGACCTTTCTAAAGCTTTTGACTCTCAATCACTTCTCACTTTAAAATAAGTTAGCCTCTCTTCCTCTACCTGACAACATTTACGATATTATAGTAAATTTTCTTTCTAATAGGAGTCATTCTATTTTCTTTAGCTCTACTCTTTTATCTACTCTACCCATTAATTCTAGCGTAGTGTCCTTAGACCATCTACCTTTATCATCATTGCTTCTACTCTCTAAACTTTTCATAGCTCTAATCACATCATCAAATACGCTGATGTTGTTACATTTAATTTTATACTACTGCCTTGCATGCTGTAACAGTTTCTGTGTCTGTCAGATCCTGATTTTTAAAGAATAATAATAAAAAACACCGTTATTCTTAATGGCGGCTAGCAGAGATTAAATTTCAAAGTCAACATCCATGACGTGCCTTGTTTATTATTGCCAACGAAAAGTGGACGAAAAATAAATGCTATGATGGAGGCTCGTGGCGCATCTTTTGAAAGTTATCAAGAAATACCGAGCACATTATCTAACAGATTTGACAGTAATATTAGTTGGAGGGAAATTAATATTAAATCAGGTTCATTTAACATTTTTGTTTCATTTTTTGCCATCCTGGGTACTAGACTAGAAGTAGCTAGTCTAAAAAAAAAGGGTTTCTCCGATTTATTAGGGATTCCAAAAGGGCCCTTTTGAAAAGGCTGAGTGGCTTTTTATTGGCTGAGTGGCGCTTTAATCTGGCTTTATGTTGCAATGAAATTGCCAACAGATGGCAATTTCATGTTGGCTGATTGTGAATATCATGTTGGCTGATTGTAAATAAGAAAATGTCACCGTGGTTGAGAATATTATTTTAATATTCACAATTTTCCAACATAATGTCCACAATTAGTCAACACAATAATCACAAACTTCAAAAAACCTATTGTCATTTTGTCGGCAGTTTTGATAAAATATGCCACTCAGGTAATAAAGCCATTGAGCCAATTGGTTAGACCCATTGTGAAGCAAGAGGCAACAACCTGAATTCTAAGGATGAACATATATATGCCGTCAACAACACCAACCTTAAAATAAAGTGTAAAAGTTGCTACATAATATGAAGTTTATTTTTTTAATTTAAAGTTTTAAATGAAGGTTTTATTTTAAATTTTCAAAACGACGTACAACTATTGTCCAGTAGTTAATTGATAAATTCAATATTGCATGAGCATGAATCATCATGATGCTTGTGATGCGCTGATGATGCTGCATGTACAGGTACACAATAGAACAATAACTACAAGAAGAGACAAAAATAATGTGATTTTGGCAGTCAGCCACATGAAGCTAGCTCTCTGCTTTTCTCTCATTTATACATCATTAAATAAATGAAGATAACGATTATTTTATTTGGTTTAATAATGATAATCATAATAACATATTATCTTAAACAGGATCCAGAGATTATTACAAGTTTTAATAAATTACTTTAATATAACCTTTCAACTACTAAGTTATCTATAATTATAATAAAATTTGGGAATGATATTTCATTTTCATTTCTAAAGGAAAATTTAGATTTCAGTTCATCCATCCAAATACTCAACTTTGTCTTTAATAATAAATAATTAATATAATATTAATAAATTTATTTAAAATTTCAATTTAACTGAGTTTATATTTATTACTAATATAATAATAGAGTTAAAAAAAGTTGTTGCTTAACGGCTTAAATTCTTAATGTTAAAGTTTTGTAATATTTACACAGCCAGACTAAAGTAAATCAAACTATTTTTGCAGTAAATCAGCGTGAAATAAGAAATATCAAACCAACATGTCCAGCTGGTGGCTATCCATATAGGCAGAGTGATGACTTACAGTTACTTACAAGAAACAGGTTTTTATATTGGTTAGTAATATATTTTACAAAATGTGTTCTTATGTGTTCAATTAGTTACTCTACATTTTTATTAAAAGGAAAATAGAGCTGACTGTTCTAGAGCTAACTGAAGTGAGTTTCGACTTCAACCTGATAAATTCCAATTTGCGAATAAAGTTTGAGGGAAGTCACATAGCCAGTGTGCCACACATTTACGAATCAAATGAACATGTTTTCATTTTAATTGCTACTTCAACTGGCATATTTAGATTTCAGTTCATCCATCCAAATACCCAACACAAGGTAGCCCTTTTTTTACTTATAATGAAGCATAAACTATAACAATAATTTAATTGTACATTTAGGATGTTGGAAGTTTAAGCTTAAGAGCAGATGTTCAGTCAATTTTTTCAAATGCTACACTTTCGTCTTGCTTGGGATCTCCTAATTATCACATGTTCTCAATTTCTGGTCCTGATGTCTCTGATTGTGTTTGCTGCTGTGCTTTTCATTCCTCCAATGACTCCAGCGTGTTTGCTTTTTCTCATCAAACTGGTTCCATCAGTTGCTTCAATTTGCCTCATCCATCCTCATTCAGTAAGTTGCTCATCTTTATTTTTATTTGGCCATTATATTTAATTATTGTGATTAGTACTTCAAATTAGTAATATACATTATTTTAGACTTTACTTGTTGCTTTCAAGGACTGCAATAACCAAGTTCTTATCTGGTCGATATTGATTCCATAGAAAACGGTTTTTCCATATGGTACATTAGAAAATGGTTGAGCTATGAGATGAAATTGTTAATTTTAAAATTATTAACAAATAATGTACTACAATAGCCATATCAAGTAAATGTGCTCTATTGTAATTCACTTTTTTTTATAAAGACAGGTTATATAATAAAAAAAAATTAATATTTTATTGCAATCATGCCAGATGGAATATTATTTATTATAAGTTTGGGATGTTAAAGATTGTTATAATTATGTTTTGATTTGTCATTGAATTGTTCGTTGACCAGACTTTAGAGTTATTGTTTTGTACATGTATTGTACACAAATATGTGTAATATATAATTTACTGTTCCATATGCCACTGAATGTAGCAACACTTACCCAAAGTTTATTTATTCTGAATAATATTTAAATGAAGTCCAGTGTGTATCTCATGGATATATTTCAAGTGTTCGTCAAGACCTTCCAACAAACATCCAGATAAATGTTTTCATCTGAAATATTTTTGAAAAACATGACTAGGGGTGAGCAGGTTGTGAGGTAAATTATCATGAGAAGCTTTTTTATGTTGGCTTATCAGCTGTAGGATAGGTGCAAGCTGGCCCGCAAGTGCAAAACCAAATCCAACCATAAGTTTAAAGACTTCTTTCTCACTGTTTGATTTTTTTTCTTATTATCTTTTCCATGGTAAGTTTAAGCAATGATACGGTAGTTCTGTTCATGAGAAAGATTTTTATATTGAATACAGGTTCAACAGTTTTGACAAGAGAAATAAAGCAAGGAGTGATGTCTCGCTTCTTGGGAGGCCTGGTCACTAGCGTCATGAGGTTTGAGTTTAAATGTTCATTTATTGTTGGATAAGGTGCATTATTTTTGTAAATTTTCTCATACCATATATAAGGTACAAATGAATTGTTTGCTCATTTTGTTCAATTTTTTTTGTTCAAATAACCATATAAAATCTGTTCAAATAATCTAATAGTACCTTAAAAATGAAAAAAAAACAGAAAATGCACTCCTAAAAATTGTTAAATCAAATTTGATTGATGTGCATACCATTGAAAATTTAAAATATTGAATTAGTATCTTTAAAATAGATTTACAATTTTTTGTTCCATCAACAACAACAACACAACACACGTTTAGACGACATTTTCCCCGAGATCGGGGGTTGCCGTTTGGCTACCTATGATGAAACCGAAACACCCCTCGACGCCATCCACATCTGTCACTCGCCTCAGTATCACGCAACTCCGCTTTCACCCTGTTCTTCTCTACCTGCTCTCTCCATCCCAGTCGCGGACGACCCCTTCCTACCACTCCTTCAACCTCGAACTCCAACGCTCGCCTAATCCCGACCGTTTCATCCCTTTTCAACACATGTCCATACCACCGCAATCTCGATCTCCTTATCAATGTCACAATGTCCTAATTCAGTCCCATCATCGACATCAGCTCTGTACTACTCCTCCTATCCTTCACTTTAACCCCACACATCATCCTCACCATAGCTCTTTCAGCCCTCTCTCCTCAACACCCAAGTTTCACCACCATATACCATCGCTGCTCTCACACATGTTCCATCAACCTTTTCAATTAAATTTCTTAAGAAATTAACTTTAATAGCACATACAACGGTTGTATATTTGGCAAATGTTGATATAACTATTATTTGTTTATTTTATGCAAACAGATCTAGTGCATCAGTTAATCAGGGTTGTGCCAGCATGTGCATGTATGAAGATGAGTTAGGTGGCATGTTCATCTGTGGAGTCACATTTGATTATAAGATCAAACTCTGGTCCATTAGCGTTGGTTTTCTTTTGTTTCAATGAGTTTCACTGGCTTAATTTCAAATTTTGTTAATCTATTAATCATCGTCATCACCTTTGCCATTGCCTTTGCATCAACCAGTCAATAAATCTGCTTTCGCCAATAAAGGCTTTCCATATTACTCACCATCAATATGGAACAGTTTGCCACTCATCATCCGTCAACTATCCTCAATAGAACTGTTTAAGAAACCATTGAAACTGCTTCTGTTCGAGCAGGCCTTTAGTGGCCATGCTAACAATTGTTTATCCGGGCACCTCGGACCTTACGCATAGGACACTGCACAAATGGCATTATCGTTATTATTAATTTTTAGTTGAATTTATTCCTCACTCTCAACTACAGTCATCAGAGCTCTTATTGACTGAAGATCCAATGAATGATGATTTCATAGATAGTCTGAAGAACAATACTGTCTTAGGTATTGCTGATTATTTATAAACACAAGATTCTTCACTGCTTTTTTTTCTTAATTTGGGCTGAAAAGTTTTTTTTGTTTTAGGCTTCCATCCATGAAATGAGTAGGTATAAAAATAATGAAAAAAAATATTATTTTTCATTATTGAAGGGTCGAAAAATCTGGTGATGAAATACATTCATGATACTTCTGCTGGTTATGCCGTCTTCATGGCTGTCTATCTTCATAAGCCAGGTGGCTCACAGGTTGGTAGTATTTTTTTATTTTAATATATTTCCTTATCATTATATCTTAATGCATGGAGTTTTAGCATTGTTTTCCAGATCTCAAAATATGTTTTTGTCAGTGCATCTTCTTGAATGTTCTATTTTAATGTCAAAAATATATATTATTTTTATTTAGACATAATTGGAGCAAATCCATGAATAAAGTATATAAAATATTTCAAAATTATTATTTTTATTACATGTTTTTCATGAAATTTGTGAGAACATTTTAATGTGCAGAGTCGGAATGGCATACAATTGTAATGGAGTGATTGTAGGAAGCTTCGAGATTACGACGGAGTATAGTTGTTTTCAACGTCTGTCACTCCATTCTGTTCTAATTTGTTCATGTTATGATAGGCTATCATTAACATAACTAATTTATGTTGAGAAGTTTTTGTTAGGTCAGGTTATGAATAACTATTAATTATGCTACCATTTACATAATTAATTTATGTTGAGAAATTTTGTGGTTAATTGAGTTTAATCAAAGTTTAATAAAAAAAATTCAAAGCTTTTTATGTCAGTTTTATGACCGTTTGTTGAATGGCCTTAAATAAATTAAAAAATTATTTTAACTGCAAATGTTTACTTTTGCTCTGTAAACAATTTGTTTCGCCCGATTCCATTTTCACTGTTGATATCTGGAATATTTATTTTTCAGTTTCAAGTCTATCGAATCAACAATTCGCCATCTAAATCATCTATGGAACTAGTCGGCCAGGTGGAAGCAAATCAGGTCCACATTAAATTAATAAAATTTTATGTTTGTTTCGACTCTTCAGTTGGTACATTGTTCAATTGATACATCATTCAACCTCTTATTAATTAATTTTTCAATTAATTTTGTTATTTATTGTTGTTTATTTCAACATTTCTACATCCCTATTTTTTTAATGCTATTCAACCTGTGGTATAATGAATTTGGTTGCAGGCAAACGTCATAGATTACATTTTTGACATTGATGTTTTGTACGTCCTGCTGGAGTCGCCACAGGAAGGCTCTTATGTCCAGTACCATTACTTAGATTGGTTTGTTTCACCAGCTGTTCCTTCAAGCTTTTTTGTGGTATCATTTTTATCAAAAATGAGCAAAAACTAAATCATTTATAAAATTTATAAAATCAAATTGACATTATTCATTTTAACATCAACTGTCGACAAATATTAATTTATTGCCAGCAGTTATGCAGATCAAGTTGGTGATAAGAACGGCATGTACACGAGCTGGTTCAGTGTCCGCATGCACAAAGGTGTACCAAAAACTGTTTTTGTTCCATCTTACTTGGATCCACGTCAGAAATATATTGATCTGATTTTTCATCCAACAACATTCAGCAATGCCATCATATGCAGCGCTCTAGCAGTCAGTTTCAAAGATTTGTTGCTCTTTGTGCAGTTTTATAATAACATCTTCCCCTTAAACTTTATAGTTTTGGGCAACTTGAAATAATTTCTCAATCTGCCTGTCTTTTAAAACTGATTATAATATTTTGTGCTCTCCGCACTTTGCCAGTCATACAAACATGCCACGTCTGTACACGGCGAGAAGTTGAGGAGTGCCTCAAGGATGCAGCTGAAACAGGAAGTCTCTGATGCTATTGAGGACAAGGTCTTTTTAATATTGACCCATTTCAAATTAATTCGTTCTGTGTTAATTAATTAATTGATGTTGATTAGTTAATTAATTGATTAATTTATGTTGATGGCAATGATGTATGTATGCAACATGTGACATTTGATGTATGTATGCATGCAACATGTGACATTTGATGTATGTATGCATGTAACATGTGACATTTGATGGATGTATGTATGCAACATGTGACATTTGATGAATGTATGCACTAATTTCATCTTTGGTTTTTTGTATTGATTTCATCAGATTAATCAGATAAAGTTAATGGATAAATTAAATAAAATGACAAAAGCTTTCTTTATGGATCATCTATCTTCATGTTCATTTGTAAAACTGACGTCAACAGTTGCACCAGACAGCATGTGAGATGCAGTATGATATGGAGGAATTCGAATTTTTGGAGCTTCATCATCAGCAGTGGTCCAAGTTCTATGCCAGTTGTGTTTACTTTTACAAGGTTCCTCGAATTTGTTTGCCCATTTGTCAATTGATTTTGGCCTTTTGATGTTCATACTTAATTTATAATATATTTACTCAACATCCTACCTCGGGGAACTGGGTCTCTGGACGCTAAACGAAGATTGATTGATTGAAAATTTATTTACTCATTGTTTTTTATTTGGTTTAATCTGTTTAACAAGGTACATAAAAAGAAGCGTACTGTATTTATTTATAAACCAACTTTTACTTTGATAACAGCAATCGTTGAAGTACTTGGGTATCGTGAAAGATTCGAAAACTGGACTACTCTTGCTCATCAAGACGAGTGATTTGAGCGTGTTGAGAACTTGTGATGTCGTCGATCGCTACCTTTTAGGCGTTGGAGCTGATTTTGAAAGTTTTGGACTCGATGTGCCTCATTATCTCAAAACTTTTCCCAATTTTCAATTCAGTTAGTTGTTCAGGTTTTTAGCACATTGTACTACATTTCAGCGTTTTATTTGTTTATAAATTTGTTGGAATGGAAAGATGTAAGCTCTGTATTTTTACAAATTTACATGTATAATTTAACATTTTTTTGTTCTTTCGAATGTCATATTTCCATTGGCACTGTCTTTGCAGTCTTTTCATTCTCTTGATTAAGTGAATACTTTTAAACATATTTTTGTTGTATTTTTATTGATATCAATTGATGCGATTGACTTGCAGATGGACAATCATGCCACAACCTGAACCTTCTACGCGAATATTTGGCGGTCGTCTCACAAACCATGTCCTCTACCAGCAGTGACTCTAACGAGAATGAATTCTGTAAAGACGGCGATATCGCATCCACATTCGTCATCTCTAAATACTGCGTCAAAGAAATAGCCGAGGAACACATAAAAAGAAACTTTGAGTTCTTGTACGTTCTTTATCGCCATACTACAGAAAGTTTATTTGTTATTTTATAAAGTTCACTTAGATATTAATTTGTTTTAGAAGTTGCTGTATCATTTTATTTTAAAAAAATGTTTGAAATCACATATCAGAGACGGAAGTTTGAGTCAGCTGAACAAGCACTCGATGAATGCGATGGTGGAGAGTTTGAGGATGCTGGTCGACATGATTGATCTTCGTTCTGCAGTTGAAGACGACCAGGCCAGTGCTGACGTTGATGATCCTGCTTTTCAAGGTTGGTTCCTCTCTATATAGAATTTTGGGTACATTGTTTTAGGTAACTTTCTCATTTATGGGTGCATTAAGTCTATAATTTAGTCTGCCGTAAATGAAACAACCAGTTCAACAGTAATAATCATTTTGTTACCCTCTATTGAACATATTTTGTATTAATACAACTGCGAACTGTTAAAAAACTGAAATGAAAGTTTGTCTGGAAATCCACAAAGTGGAAACGATATCGAAGGGGTTTTGGGTGTGTTGTAGTTAGACAGTCATTGTGGTCAAGAACAGCAAGGATGTGCTGATGTGTCAAGTTTTGTTCGTACATGCAAGGATTTTAATTGTAGATTTTTGTTTATTGTCAAGTATTTTTCCACAATTTACAATTAAAAATTTTTGGTATCTTTTATTATTTTTATATATATATTTTGTTACCGTCAATTGGGAATTTGATTAATGTTTTGAAATATCATGTTGTCCACCGCCACAGCCATGGAAAGACAGGCTGTAAGGTTATTTTTCAGTAAAGAAGGAATGAGATCACTTTGCACGAGCATTGAGCAGTTGATGACGAACAGATATAAGCTGGCTTGCAATGTACTTTCTCTCATCTACTTCCTCAAGAAAAAGGTTTTTTTGTTTTTTTTTAAATTAATAAAACTCAAAAAAATATAAAAAACATTCTGATTGCAAGCTTTATTTATTTTGTTGATCAGTAAATTGCGTTAATTAACTAAGATTGAACTCTCGTTTATTCAAATTTGTCAATGATTTTCATCTATTTCAAACTTATCTGCAGGAGATATCACAGTAACTAAAAACATTAAAACATTGTTAATAAATTTTATTTTATTGTTTGTAAATACATAGATAAATTAGGCATACATATTAAAAAATTACTGATTTGTTTTCTACAATATATCATTTAAAATAATTAATTCAGGTGCAAGGGCGTTTGGTAACGGAGTTGAACAAAACAGTCGAGCGCTTGGTGACTGTCATGAACATCTTCAGATCAATCATCTGGTCCATTAACACCCCCGTGTTTCATGTTAAAACAAAATGCTTGTTAGTCACGTCTGTCTATTTTCAATTAACGAATTAACCATTGAATTGTCTAATGTTTATAAATTGTTATTTACAAAAAATGGATACACATTTGTTTATATCATTTCTTTCCTCTTCGATGCTCAGCATCGGTGATCAAAATGGTCTTGTGGAGAGAGATTTTTTTATTAATTCATTGAAATGTTGTTCATATTTTTCAAACGTGTGAAGAGACTCGACGAAAAAAGTGACCTCCCTGATGAAGTTGATTTGTGAGCAGCAGAGCATGGGGGCTCCTCTCACTGGTTAGTTCTCCTCTAGACATTAAATCATATCATTTATATGATGCACATTAGAAATTAAACTTTTTTTTCTCCTTTTTTTGCAAACGAAAAAATTATTATGTGTGAAGAGTCAATTTTTTTAATTATTTGTGAAAAATTCTTAATTCCTGTGAAGTGATAATTATTTGACTGAAGTTATTTAATTTGTTTTTTCAGAAGTTCCAACGTTGACGCTGATGGAGCTGTTTGTAGCAACTGAAGGTCGCGGCGTGCTTGCGAGTGAATTGACGAGACACCTGATGAGAAATCGGTCGAACAAGTCCACACCTCACATGTTCTGGTCGGAATCGCTGCCAATGCTGGCGTACAAATTGCAACTCTCTTTGTATCCTTTATCGCGCAACGTTTAGCGTTGATGCACCTTACACATTTTGAAAAATTTTCATGTTCCCACGATTTTGAGCTCTCTCTTCTGAAAATTATTTAAAATAATTAAAAAAATATATATTTGTGTGTATGATGTGTGTGTCTGTATGTGAGTGATTTGTGTGTGTGTGTGTGTGTGTGTGTGTGTGTGTGTGTGTGTGTGTGTGTGTGTGTGTGTGGAGTGTGTGTTTATATTTATATATTTAAATTTTTTATTATCTTCTTGACTTATTTAAACATTTTCCATAACTTTTTTCACAATTGTGAATAACTAGTTGGCCGAATTTATCAGGCTTGAAGTTTGTACTGAGCCTTTTGTACCACGGTCAGCACGTCCATCTGCAAACTTACATCCATAATATGGTGGATTACTTTGAAGAGTGTGAGGGCTCGTTCAATCTCATCTTGGGCCTCTCTTCACTCGTCACAGGGTTCCATTCTTTTTTACTAATAATTATTATTTAATTCAATCTGTCCTGGTTATGACATTAAACTGACCCTCACTGCCTTGTGAGTGATGTTGGATCATCAAAGACTAGGCCCACCGCTTATAACTGTGGTTGCGTAAGGAAGGGCGTCCTGCGTAAAAATTAGCCAAATAAATTACTTATGATGACAGAAGTGACAATGGTTTCATTATAGGTAGCCAAACGGCAACCCCCGATCTCGGGGAAAATGTCGTTTAAACGTGTGTTGTTGTTGTTGTATTATTTAATTCAATCTTCAACCTTAAACGGACTATCTATATACATTATGTGTGTTTATTGCTTTTGGCGTGTGAGAGATATTAATAAATTGAAATAATCTTGAATGTGTATGTTTGAATGCTGACAGGGAACCAGAAAAAGCCTTGTACTACTTGCAGACAGCTGGTGAGTATCTTGACAAGGAGAAGTTGTTGATGGAGTTGGTTGAAAAATCAGATCTACAATCGATTAAAACATATTTCTATTTGTTGGTTAGAAATATTTTCTACTTCTCAATAATAAGTTTTTCTGTGGTCCAACTTAATGTGTGGCGCTATGGTCTAGTTAACCTTGTCGTACAATTAAAAATGCCAGTCTCAATTGCCAGTACAATTTCGTAGGTGATGGAGTTGTTTGAAGAGTTCAACCTGCCATCATGTTCCATCGACGCTGCTCACCACATCCTTCCGTTTGTTTCCTCTGATGATCCTAAGTTGGTCAGTCATTTTGCAAAATAATCTTCTGTGTCTTCAATGAAAACAGTTTCAACACTAATTACCATATTTTGTTGTGAAATTGTGAATCTGAAGGTTACTCTTTGGATCAAAGTGTTCAAAAACTCGATGGATCTGGAACTCTATGATGAGGCATTCACTGCAATTCTTATGAATCAAGATAAGAGCAGGTAAGAGTTTCTTTATTATTTTTTGTTTCATATTGATTGATTGATTTATTTATGTATTTATTTATTTATATTGTTCTATTAATATACAGTCATTCCTTTTATATATAAATTCCATTACAGTACTAATAAGTTGTATTAGAAAAATGTTATGAAGAGTTATATTGCTCTACATATTTTTGTAAAAAAAAGACACGCAAATTCATTTAAATAAAATATAAGAAATTTCAGTCAATTTGAACAAATTTTAATCAGTCAATCAAAGAAATCAACCAGAATAGAAACGCACATATTTATATACGCAATATATGTGCAACGTGCAATCAGAATATTATTTTTAGATAAGAAAAAAGATTTAACATGGCGATTATCGACAATTTTCTTTAAAATTTTAGAATTGGGTATTTGCAAAGATATTATGGTAGAAGTCTTGCTTTGTTGATTTTATTGCTTTTTTTAAATATACTTTTATGTAGGAATAAATGGTTTTTGTATGCCCCGAAAGCTTCGATCTACGCTTTTTATTTAGAGCTTTTTTTCTGAATTAGATTTTTTACTAGTTTGTAAACTTAATCAACAATCCGTAGCCGCAGAGATTGTCTGAGGCAGTACTTCATGAAACTTTACGAGGAAAAAGAGTACAGCTTGATTGGATCGAAAGCAAATCAGTGTCACGACCTGTTCATCAATCATGAAGTAATTATCCATAGCGTATCTTGTGTTTTATGTACAGTGTCATCCAATTTTTTTTTTCTCTACCTTTTTTTCACCGCGTTGTCTGAATTTCATTTGTTCAGATTAAACAATATGCTACAAAAAATTAACAGAGCTAAATTATAGTAAACTATTTTCTTGTATAAGTCTTATGTTGCAATTTTCTATTCTGATGAAGAGTATTAAACATCAACTTATCTCTGTCATTTAATTAATTCTTGTCATGTAAATAAAAAGTTAAATAAATTCTTGAAAGTCAAATGAATAAATGAATGCTCTCGCCCCAGTTGATTGATCTGCTTGAGCAGCAAGCCAGGATGACTGATTTCACTAAGCAATCATTCTACGAACTTCTTCATGCAATACATTACCGCAAGAAGAACTATCAAGCTGGTCTGTTTGTTGTTCGTTCGTTCGTTTGTTTTTAGAGTTATTGATGATGATGGTGAGGGTTGAGAACCGTTGAAATTGTGTTTTTATATAAATGTTTATGTGTAACTGTCATTAAATTAGTTACTATTTTATATGTGTGTGTGTGTGTGTGTGTGTGTGTGTGTGTGTGTGTGTGTGTGTGTGTGTGTGCGCGCGTAGATTTTATTTTCTTGTGTGTTGTGTTTGCCTATATTTGAGAAGCCATTAAAATGTCGTTCCGTTTCGTTTCATTTGCATAATGTAAGGAGGCACATTTGTGTGCATATTTATTTATTTCTTTGCAAGAAGCTTATTTGATCAATCATCTGTGTGGTTGTATGGGGTGGCTGAGATTGGATGTTTAAATTTTTTTGGTAAATGACAATCCCAAAATGTTGTATTTAGATTCTCTTAAAACAACTTATGTAATTAGTTTATTAGTTTATATTATAAAACATTGAATTTAACTCTCAGCTGCAACCGTTTTGTACGAGTTGGGTATGAAATGGGGATATGAGGTGGGGGGCATGGAAGGACTAACCAAGATGATTCATTGGATCAGAACGTGCATTTCTTGCCTGCATCTACTTCAGCCTCTGTAAGCTTCCTTCTTATGTTTGTTTGTTGTTTGTTTATTTATTGTTTGTTTGTTTATTGTTTGTTTATTATTGTTTGTTTATTTATTTCTTGTTTGCTTGCTTATTATTACAGTTTTAGTCTTTTTTCTTTTTTCCCGCGGTTGTTTTGGATGAGATTGACATCGTTAAGTTCATTTTTTTTGTCCGTATTCATATTCGATAGATCTTCAGATATCATGATAAAGGATGATAAACAAAAAATCCGCTCGTTAACATTAACACATGTTTCATAAGACGATATTGAAATGCGTCAATTGAACATCTTACTTCAACACAGAGATGCTTTTGTGCTGCTGCCTGCTGAGCTGAAAGAAAGCAACTTCTATAGGGACATTCTACATCATTTGAACTCTAAAAAGATCAATTCCGCTACTGAAAAGGTTATTATTAAAATAACGCCTTTCAAAATTTATATTATAAAGTCATGAAAGTTTTCGTTGGTAGGCTAACTTTGTTGGCTCCTTTAGAGCAATAAGTTAATTATCCTATATAATTTGTTTCAATTAACATTCCGGATGAAATTCTAAGAAGGCCACCCCATCGAGATGAAGTTTTCATAATGCATTTATTCATTTTCGTGTTCCTCTGATTTCTAGTAGCGTTCATACGATCGTGGAATATAAAATACACTCTTCTAGTTCATGTGATAATGAATTGTAAATAAAACGCCCTTTAAAAAATAGTGCTGAGAATGAACAACATTTGCTATAAAACATACAATACAATATAAAATAAAATTGTTGCTATGCTATGAAGGTTCCAACTGGCTCCAAAGTGGTCCTCCTCGACTTGAATGAAATTGAAAGAGAAAATTTTTTGTCAATTTGCCTATTGTGCATATACAACCTGCCCTCTACTGATAAAAAGGTTTCATTTGAATTTTTACTGACCATTCTTACATTTTGACCTCGTTTTTTTTGGACAAAAAAGATCACATCAACATTCATTGTTTTTGCCATACAACGTTTTTCTTAATGTTTTGTAATTTCAACATCATCGTTGTTGGTGTTAGTTCAAGTTACAAGCTTAAAATTCGCGTCACGTTATTACACTCGTCTTTATTTTTTATACACTTTTTTATATTCACGACACTCCTTGCAAACATGTAAAGTATTAACCTCCAGTTAACAAATATGAAAAAATGTAACAAATAATGATAAATAACGAGGGTTTTAAATGGTGATGCAAATTGGAAAAACGTTAGTGAATAGATTTGTGCGCGTAGCTGAACTGAATTGAACTGCTCAGTTGGATTTACAAAAAATTGTGACAGACATTATATTATAGGTCAATCATTACATCATCATCATCTATATGAGAAAATTTTGTTGATTATTGAACTGAGTTTTTATCACTGTCAACAATTTGGTTATGTGACGAAAATTCTCTTGAAGATTGTTTCATTTGTTTGAAGGGTATGAAAATTTGTTAATGAAACGTTTTGGTTTTTTGGAAGAAGCGGTTCTTTCATTAGAAGCGGTTTAACTGTTGTTTCGTTTGATATCGATATGATAATTGTTAACATTGTGAACGTGCTGCAAATCAGATTTTATGGAAGTCAGTAAGACTGAGTCCGGATGAGACACTGGGCCTGCTCTGCAATGCAGGCATCTACGACAAAGCATTCATCTTGGCCGATCACTTCAACCTCTCTTGCTCTGAAGTCTTCGAATCGCTCACGATGAGGTTCAGCACTTTTTATTGCTTCGTCAGTATCATGAGAACGTTGCAAGTGGCTCTATGTGGCCAGTAACTTGTGTGTATGCATCTTATTATTATTACATTGGGTCAATTCACTTTTTTATATATAGAATTTATTTCATAGAAGAATTCCATTCATTTTTTATAGATGCATTAGACTTTCCAATCAACTTTTCCAACCATCAACATCTTCTTTGGCCTCCTCCGGACAGAACGCCGAGTGGTTGGATCATAATTATTACACAAATGACGTGGATAAACAGTACTGGTTAGCAGTCTTGTAAGACTGACGCTTCCTTAATCATTTTCTAACATCCAGTTTGTCTTGCTTAATTTAAACAAACCCACTGACTGATTTTGTGATGGATGAAATTTATTGAGGAGCGAGTGATGTAATACCCGGTCTGTGATATACTTCAGTTCAGAAGCCGATAGGGCATGGAGGTACTTGAAATTTTCTCTGGAAAATTATGAGTCCACTGAGACGAAAGAGTTTCCACTCCCACTGAAGACGTTGTCAACCTCATCAACAACTTATCACAGAGCTATCACAAAAAAATTATTATCATTCAATTTTGCGCTGCCCGCCTGGTTGGTTGCCTCCTACAAGGTTAGACATTCTACAATCACATTAATTTCTCTCTTTTGTTATTCGAAAATTTGGAAATTAATATTTTATACATTTTAGAATTGGATTTAATGTTTAAATTAAATTGATTTAATGCAGTGAATTTTTTGCCTTTCGCTGTTCGTTTTGTAGAATTTATTAATTCAACTTATTTTTAGCCGTAACAAATCTAGTTAGGCCGTGCACTTTCCTCCGCCCCATCAATAAAATTATTCAATAATGTCCTTCATAATCATATATCCCCTCATCACGTAGCACCTGGATGCACCCGAACTGATGCACGTTCTGTGGGAGCATGGCGAGATCCCCGAACTGACCGACCTCATCGTTGATTACATGCAGGCTGTTGCTGGCAGAGGAAGCGAAGCATTTAACATCACTGCTAGTTTTTTGTTTCACATTTATTGACTTTACATTCATTATTATTGCTGCTACCTGTTTTTTCATTTGTAAATTGTATTTTGTGTGTTGTGAGTGTCTTCATAGTGAGCGATCGTGGATTGACTGAAAGAATGAGTGTGGTCTGGGCTAGTTTTTTAAGGATTCATAGTCTTGTGATGAAGTTTGATGTGTAATCTTCACATTGGTATGTTAAACGTTGTTAATGGTGAGGATTAATTTTTTATATAATTAATCGCAAAATCTTTCGAAACTGGAAGAAAGTTGAATCAAGTTCATTCCTGATGAATATCTGAGCGACCATGCAGCAGGCAGGCAGGGATGAGCTAGTTGGGACCGCCCAGGCTTTTTAATCTATAACTGGTCTTTATAATATCTCGTTTAATTGACTGCAATAAGGTGAGCCTGAATTGAAGTGGGTAGGTATGTGTGGTCGGAATGAAATTTGAAAACAAAATCTCGCTTACAGAGAATGCCGGTAGACTTGTAGAATTATTTGGGAAAATAATTGAAAGAAAAAATTAAAGTCCTGGTTCTTCAAATTTTTCAATCACTTTGTAAACTTGTTTTTTGAACAAGATAGAAGTTCAGAAGTTGAAAATTAAAATTTTATAAAGCATGCATTCTTTTGAGAATGTTTTGACAAGTAACAATGGTTGATGTTGGAAATTGTTAGTCGTTGAAATTCGGTAAAAATTAAAAATATTTCTTTAGAAAATTTAGCGATTTTGAAAAACAGTCGGTGTTAATAGTTTATTCTCTGACTTTCAAACATAACTTAGCTTGACAAAATTTATTTAACGACTGCTGGTTTTTTAGTTCTTCAAAGTTAATTTTAATGAACCTATTCAAAGTTACAATTGCATATGTTTTTTACATAGGAGGACTTGTATCACCGGCGAACGTTTCTGCCTTACACATTGATTCACGAAGTTGTCAGCAACTTGGAGATGCTTTCTTCAACCCATCCTGCCTTCAAAAAAGTTCGATCTTTTATTTGAAATTCAGTTTTTTCATTAATTTTTTATTTGTTTAATTAAACAGGCAGATTATAAATAAACATATGAATAATTTAAATGAAAATTTCAGATGCTTGATAGGGTAACGAAAGCCATGAATGGTTACCTGAAATTTTATGAAAGCCATGCAAACATTTACCATTTAGCTCACCATGAAAGATAAAAATTCATGAACAGAAATAAATCAACGCTGTACTTTTTTACGTTATTAGGAAGGATTAATAAACTTTGTTGCTACTATACGTATTTTATATTTTATTTGCTTTTAGATAAATTTCAATAAAGAAAACTCTTCTTCTGGCTGTAAAGCGGTTTTTGAGTACAGTTACTTTGAAATTGGCGATATATGTATATAAAGTGTGTATATATATATTCTTATTATTATTATATGATCATTTATATAGCGCCTATTAAAAACATTCTCATAGGCGCTTTACAACTATGGCAGTTTTCTACTACAAGGAAAAAAGATATGTCTTCAATTGACTTTTGAACTGGTGAAGTGTCAGACCAGACCGGCGCAAAAAATATGGAAGTTCATTCCAATGCCTTGGTCCATAAACTGCAAAACTACGTGATGCAATCTTTAATTTAGTAACCGGGACCACTAACAAATTTCCCCGATCTGATCGTAGGCCAGTTTTAAAGAAATCGATGATCTGTCAATCAACATTTCGGACAGATAATGCGGAGCCAATCGTTTAAGCATCTATAAACAAAAACACAGACTTTTAAAACAATTCTTTTGTTGACCGGCAAACAAAGCAATTCCGACAGAAGTGGGCTAATATGTTCAACACGACTAGCATCCAACAACAATTCTTTCTATATATATATATATATATATATATATATATATATATATATATATATATATATATATATATATATATATATATTGATAATAGACCATAATTTTACAATATTCTATAAATTCGGTAGAATTTATAGAATATGTATATATTTTTTTTAGAATTTATAGAATATGTATATATATTTTTTTAATTATTTTTTATTTTATTTCTCAAAAAAGAGGGGTAAACTAAAAAGCAACCAAATTCTTGTATATATGTCTGTATATATACATACAGCAACTACACGCATCTTAAAATTGCAGAAGCAGTCCTAATTGACATCAATAAACCAAAAATAAATATACAACAAAAAATGACAACCTCACTTCCAACCCGGCGCTTAACCAACAACGAAAACAAAGAAGTAATAAAAACTAGCATTGTAAATAGTGACAAAGATGATGTGATGCTATCGACGAAGAAAAGGAGACCAAAGAAGATGACCAGCCAATAAAGAAACCTGACACCTAATTTCCATCTAAGTTCACTTTGACAAAGTCAATCTCCATCTAAATTCATTTTGACAAAGTCAATATTTCCCTATATAAACAGCAGAAAGCACTGATGATGATTCATTCGGAATCGGAATATGGCCTTATTTGCAGCATGAATTCGGAAAATAAGTTTATTTTGAATTTTAATAAACTAAACGTTCACCAAAAAACTTTAGTGAGAAAAATTGAAAAAACGAACTACAAACATATTAACGCCAAACATTCGGTAGAATTTATAGAATATTATAAATATATATATATATATATATATATATATATATATATATATATATATATATATATACATACATCGGAGTAAACTCATGATAAGAGCAGTACGGGACCTCACTTAATGAGGTCACTTAAATTTCATTTAAATTATAAAACTCAAAGCAAGCCACGGCAATTATTTAAGGATACTATATCAAATTTTTGCTAATAAGCACAGAAAAAGTCTATCGCAGCGGTTCCCAACCACTTTTAGTCCGCGGACATTTGCCTGGTGGTCCGCGAGCAAAGTGTGAAGCGCAAGTTTTTTTTAAATTAAAAAAAAATGAAAAAGATGAGCTCCGATTGAGTCTTTTGAGCATTACGCCTCGTTTGGATAAGCTATGCTCAAGTGTGCAAGCTCAAGGCTCACACCAAAATTAAATGTAGCATTATTTCTAATGTAGGCTTGGCACGTTAAAAAACCACCTGTTTATTATTATTCATTACTGTTAGCAAGTGACATTTGTTCATTGTAAAATATGCAGCAATTACAATTTGTTTCTTATTTGATATAAAAATTGATATGTCAGATAAACCGTGAGATACGCTGTATGCAAACATCAATGTAAAACGAACATTATACTTTTTAATTTGAAGTTAAAAAATTTATTAAAATATATAATAAATAATTTTAAATGACAATTTTAATACACCTATAGTTAAGTGTGGTAACTAGTTCTCTAAGTCTAATAGTTATACCAAGAACTATGTTAAACTAACTATATGTAGCTGTTACGTCATTATATTATATAATTATATATATATATATAAATTTCAAGTGTTCTAGTAGCAAAATTTTCAGTTGTGGTCCGCGGCTGAGGTATACATTTTTTAAGTGGTCTGTGAATCTCAAAAGGTTGAGAAACGCTGGTCTATCGCATGATGGTTCGTTTTTAGAAATGTATAGGTACCATTGTTATTTTATTTTTTTAATGTATATTATCTAATTTCGATCATGCACTACTAAAGGTAACCTTTCTGCGTATGTGCTATCACATTTTTTTTCTAAAACTTGTGACAAGTGATTTATAAAAATATCTAACAGAAATTGATTTAATAAAAAGTATCTGATTGAAGAAGAAAAAAACTATCATTAATTATTTGGTTCTAGTGACATGTTAATATAATGGGCGTCATTTGTTATTATTTGGTAAAAATTATTCGGGCTTTCTCTAAAACAACCCAAAAACGATGGAGCAATTGTTTATTATTCTCAGAGTACCGTACACCATTCTAGGCAGGTAAATAGACATTAAAATAAACTTTGGCAAGTGTTAAAAGGCGGTTTACTGATGTCGAGAAAGGCAGAGAGATTGATCTCAATAATTAATTTCATCTGATCATTTGAAAAAATATGATTAACAGTGTCGAACGCTGATGAATATTCAAAACCATAAGTGTCATTGCTATTAGGCAGTCGATTTTTTGTGTGAATAAAACCGTTTAAAAATAAGCCTCAATTGTATATTTTGCGAATATTTTTTTAAATAATAGAATAATAATTAATTCACTTTGTTGGGTATTATTTCAAATACAATAAAATGAAATGTATTTCAAATGTTTAATCTGTTCATGCAAAATAGATGCACAAAGCTATGGTAGAAAACAACAAGATTGTGAGCGCAACATTGCCGGCCCAATAATGGAATTTTTCTTCGTGCAAAGAAGTATATTTAAGATCGTTTGATTGCTCCTCGCTTGTTTTCAATCCTTTCTCAATGCCGCACATCCATTTACAACAGGACCACAAACAAGTGACGTCATCCTCCTCATCTTCATACAAACTCTTGCAGCCTGATGAAATTAATCATACCAAGCATTTGTGTAACGGTTTTTTTTGCAAGATGTATATTACAAGCAAGGTTGTTATCGCTGTCGAAGCATCGCTAAGGCCAATATTGTATCAGCCATACTTTATCAGTATTCGTTGTGGCATTGACAATTTATTCGATGTCGTTGTAGCCGATACTTTTTAAGTAGAAAAAATCGCAACTATTGAGCATCAACTGTCAAGTGGATGCATTTCTATTATTGATCATTTTCAAAGTTAAGCGCGTTTTCTAACTGTTAATTCGAGATTTAAAATTAAACTTCAACGTTTATCGCATAGTTTGTTTAATCTTTTTTTTCTATTATATCTCGAAACGTTGATTTAGGGGGTATAAAAGAACTTCAAAAAATATTTAAGCTCTTAGTTTACAAATTTATGTTCTTTCCAATATATTTTTTTAAAGTTTTATTAAAAATTCTTGCAGAATAATTTTTGCTGAAATAATTTTATTTGTCGAATATGATATAGAAGACGACAAAAAATTGTTTTTTTTATTCTGAAAAAATTAGGAGCTAATTGCTTCATTGTTGCCCCGGGACCTCCAAACCTCAAAATCTGGCCTTGACATAAATATTCATTTTACCTTACTTCAAATTTGTTGATTAAAACAATTAATTTTAAGCAATCATTTTTACTTTATATATTAACTATCGAAATCATTTATTGATGAAATAATCGTTCCCCTTTTCATGTAGCCCGACTTAACAAGTTTGTATGTATTGGCATTACTTTCAAAAATGAGCATTACCGGTACTGGTGTCAGCAATACATTTGAAAGTCGTTGTTAGTATTGGTATTGCCGATACAACTTTTGAGTATTGTTGACAACCCTGATTATTAGAAACTTATGTAAGAAAATATTTATATATTTTATTTTTAAATTGAAAAAGTTATTGTAAACCAAAAAAACCATTTGTTGGCCGACTTGAACAATCTTGCACGGTGTAGACGGTTGACTTGGTTTTTTTACGTTCAATTGATATATTTCCTATGTCCAAACGAGGTTCTTTGCTATGCCGATTCCAAAACAATAATCTGATGAGCTTTGACATTTTTTTCACAGTAAATAAGCATGAAGAAATATGAAATACTACCTCAAATAATTTTTAACTAACGTATTTATCTTCAACTTTTTCTGTAAAATGACTAATTATCACAACTGTCGCAAGCACGATGAAGAACAACATGATTGCAAAGTATGAGAAATGAAAATTTTCTATTATGGCCGGCCTCACGTACGAAATATCACTATCGCATAATATAGTGGGGTAAATATTCTCTACCACTAGGCGAACTCCTCCGATAATTAACCCGATCATTAGGCCAAAAAAAGCTCCCTAAAGTGAAAATCGTTCACTGTAACCCAAATTAAATATGACGAAATGTTTTATTTTAACCTTTTCCGTTGTTCCAGCCCAAAACATAGCTAGAATGTAAACCGCACAAATTGGTGGTGCAAGGTAACTGGTAACACGCTGAATGTAAAAATACAAATCTGAAAAGAGCTTTACTATGGGTATCCAAGCCGTAGAGATGGCCACCATGAATAAAACAAAAATTCTAAATAAAAGAAATGAAAGACATAATTTTTATAATTTTGATTTGTTTTATTAAAAATTCTTACCGTCCAGCAATCATTAACTCAGTGTTAGTTGCTTTTTTTCTCAACTTCTTCCAAATGTCCATGGTGAATATAGTACTGCTGCTGTTAAAAACTGACGACAGTGACGACATGAGCGCTGACATCATGACCGCTAGCATGAGTCCACGAGCTCCATTCGGCATGAGTTTCAGAACCAACATCGGGTAGGCCATATTGGAGCATCCCGTCTTGGCCTTGCAGATGTTGATGCATACCTCCGGATCGACACAAGCAACCTTGTCTATATTTTATTGTTTAACAAAATTAATAGATTAATTTTTAAATTTTTTAGAATAATTCTCTCTATTATTTCAAACTTTTACTATATGCTTATGTTATAAATCTTGTAATAATATATTATGATTAATAATTGACTCGTGTTTTATGTAAAATTGTTAAACCATCTATTAGCCCACTGTTTGAAAAAACAAATGATATTTGGTACCTTAGAACAAAACAAAGATAGTTTGAATCAGTTGATATCGAACAAAGGGGGTTCACAAGAACACAAATATGTACATACATACAACTTCATGCGTCAAGGTTACACGTAACCTGGAAAAAGAATTCTTGCAATCATACCCGGGAAGACGATGACCCAGAGAGGAAGAAACTTGAGAAATCCCGCCAACACACATCCTGCTTTGGCGTGACTTAAGTTTTTTGATGCCAACGTTCTCTGGACGATAACCTGAATCAAAAGTTCCCAATCCACTGAAAAACTTTTTAATTAAAATGAATCAATTTCCATTTAGAATCCTTATTACTCCAAGTAATTTTCTTATTTTCCGTTGCAACAATAAAATTTGATGAAATATTTTAGTAAATTTTCTTATTTAATAATAAAATGAGAGTGACGACCTGGTCGGAGCACCAATACCACAAAGATAGAATAAGCTGGCCCAGTATTCCAGGCCAAGGAAGCGTTCGATCGTCAGCGGACCGAATTAGGTGCAGACTGTTTAGAGGCGGGTATCCACATGCTTCTTTATTGTTCAAAACATTGCTTGTGTGGTTGTCGTGTAAATTCGTTTCCATTGATGTTATATTGCCGTTTTTATGATTTTTATCCAAAAGGCCATTATTAGTTTTATTCATTAATGGAGTAGCGTTAAGAAATTTATTCATAACATTTTGGTAGCCACCGACTTCTATGAAACCTTAAAAAATTATAAATTTTTTATTAATTGCATAAACAAGGATGTTCAATTGAAAAAAGTTTCAGTTTATGAACGTGTCGATGAAAACCTCACTTGCTGCCATGAGATAAAGCGCGCCAATGATCATGATGACTGTCTGGATGAAGTCTGTCCACATGACTGCCGTCAGCCCTCCTGCCATTGTTTCACAATTTCGTTAAATTATTTTAAAAATTACATTTTTTCAAACAATTCATCATTAAGCTGTTAGATCGGGAAATGAAAAGAATAATTCAATAAAATTTAAAAAAATTGAATCCAAAATAACAAATATGGCTAAAAATTACACACGAATTTCATCCAGAGATGCTGTATAATCGTTTTATTACAACAACAAAAATAAATAATATTTATTAACACTATTACTATTATTATTTTAATTATGACCAATCATGTTATTTTTCCACTTTGCTGTTTCTTCCTAGGTATGGGCGTCCATTTTTTAACGAAACAACTTTTGATAACGTTGCATGGAGAAGATTGTTATACTAATAGGGTAATGATTTATTGAATTATGCACAAGTTTGGCTCATGAAAAATGTGATGATCATGTACATTAATTATGTAATGTTATATACTTTTAATATAAATATATATATATATATATATATATATATAGTGGTGACGGTTGAGGTCATATATCTTGATTCAACGTATATGATTGAGGCTAGCGGGTGCTACATGAAAAATAAACTAGAATAATTTACATATAAAAATAATAATAATAAGGCAAACGCTTTTTCCTAATTGTCTACGCATTTCAAGTATTTTTGTGTTAAAAATTTAATGTCCAATATATATTACATTTTAACTCCGTTGTGCGAAACATCAAACAATTAAAATTTTGTTACATAAGAGTTGAAAGCCTACCCGTGATTGTGAATAAAGCAGATATGACCAGAATAACGAGAATGGATGAAAAAATGTCCCAGTTAACGGCTTGACTAATAAAAAGTGACCCAGCATATAAATCAACCTAAAAAAATAGATTATAATTGAAAGATTGAAACTTATTATCAAAACGCATCCAACTTCTTGTTACTACATTTGTTTGAAGAAAAATTATTACCACGCACGTTTAATTTTGTAAAATTAAAACTAGAAAACTAAATCAAAAATCAAAATTTAAAATCAAACAAGTACTTACGGATATTTTAGTGAAAACGTACACAACAAGAGCAAGAACTGCTAGGTAGATACGAATTCGATTTCCGCCGAATCTCTTTTGTAAGTACTCTGGCACCGTGTAGACCTGCGACGTTACATGTCATAGTCAATTTGTCATGTGTTACATGTGTGTGTGTGTGTGTAATTACTCTAAATGAATTAAGAAACCTTTGTGAGCCGTTGTCATATTTTTGCTGATGGCGATTAATTAACTAACTCAGAAATGAAAAATGAACTACAATCTAGACTATGTACAATTGTGGCATAACGTGAATAAAATATTTGTTTTAAAAAATTAAATTAAATAGACAAAAAATTAAAGAATAATAAATATAATGTGTTAAATAACTCAAAAACTTGTGAAAAAAATAATGATACGAATCAAAAATGGGAATAAAGTATTGAAAAACGCATAAATACGAACTATATGTGTTAATATTTTTACAGTAAATTAAAGGTTTAATTGATATTATTGCCATAAAAAGCGGTGTTGTTTAAATTGGGAAATATTCTTAAAAATTGAAGTTGATATTGTCTGGTGTATAACATTTGATTTGAAACTAGAATAAGCCACAAACAAGCAAACAAACAAACAAACCCCAGAAGCAATGTAAACAGGGACAAAGAGCCACCCTAGCAAGCCTATGACAAATATTGCCTGCGTTCGTTTATAAAACAAAAAGTTGCAATTCGTATATATTCATAGATATAATTGTACTTACGTAATAATAATATAAATTCTATATAACAAAATTGTACGCATTATAATATATTATGTTAAAAAGTGTCTATAAAATGTATAGGAATAAAGGTTAATTGTTACGTTGAATTCGAAGGCTGCGGGCGCCAAACCTGACAGAGCCCCCGAGCCTGCGAGCCCGATGAAGTGACTGCTGCCTATGTTGGTCGAGAAGAGGGAACATCCCACCTACACTCGTTCGGAAAATTAACTAATATTCTTGGGAAATAATAAAACAGATTATTGTTTAAAAAATTTTTAAATGTAAGTTGAATAAAGGAAAATAAATGATTAAAATGATAGTTTGTAAAATGTAACGAGTTGAAAATGAACAATATAAATATGAACTTGCCAGGATAAAATGCATTGATCTTCCCGCTAAAAAGTAACCGCCAACTGAACCTCTATTTTTCAATGATGACTGTATTGTATGTAATGTATATATATGTATTTATGTACGTGTGTGTGTATTTGTTTGTGTGTATGTGCATTTAGTTAGTTTGTTTGATAGTAAGTTAGTAGGTTAGTTTGTTTTGTTTGTACGTACGTACGTGCGTACCTAGGTACCTATGCTTATTTATGCTTAGATATGTGTGCATGTATGTGCGTGTGAGGTTGTGTGTGTGTATGTTTGAAAGACAAAATGAAATATAGTAATAAAAATAGATGAGATTTATTTATTTGTTTGCAACTGACTCACCCAGAATCCGAATCCCAAAACGACAAGGAAGTAGAGCACGATGACTCCCAGGTCCATGCCGGATATGCTGCCGATTGTTCCTGTTATCATGGTAGGGGTACAACGAACGGAATAAATATTTCAATGATGTCGTTATCAGATGCACATGATTCGTCGTAACCGGTTCAATTTCTTCCCAAGTTAATATCAATTATCAACTATTTTTCGGTTTAACATACATAATTTATGTAAAATCAAACAAGCACAACTATAATTAAACGTGTTTCATAAATTTATTCAATAAATTACAGCCGTGTATCAATATCAATTCACTATTTTGATGAACCAGGTAGAATTATGAGATTTGAATAGCCCCAGCCCCAGTTTGAATAGCCCCAGTTTGTAGTAAAACGAACTACAAACATATTAACGCCAAACATTCGGTAGAATTTATAGAATATTGTAGAAATTATAGTCTATTACCAACAATATATATATATATATATATATATATATCTTTGATTATATTCAAAGCCATGGAACCGCCAACTGAACCCCAGATCCTGATTTTTAAAGAATAATAAAATATATATATATATATATATATATATATATATATATATATATATATCCTGATTGCGACAAAAACGGACTGAAAAGATGAGATAATAGAAAAATATTTGAAGAATTTTTTAATTTTTTTATATTTCACTAAGTAGTCCTGTTGGTTTTTGCCAATTTATGTTTATGTATGAATGTATGCATGAATGTGTGGTTGTGTTAGTAGTAAAAAAAAGATGTGAGTTTCTTCTAAAAATTTAAAAAAAAAATTGATAGATCTTCAAAACTGAAATTGGGAAAATAATTGTGTGACACGCACAAAATATCTGTTTGTTTTGTCATCACAATTTTGTTGAAATATGAAACAAAAACATTATTTTCTTACATTGTTAAAGTTTAAATAAATAAATTTTATTCTTATTAACATTTTGAAAATTAACGCTTAGGTTATGGTAATGATTATCTCATTTAACGTTATTAAATATTTATCAACCAACGGAATGTGTAAATATTTATTAGTTACTCAATCGCTTGTACAAATAAATGCCCCTTGGGACCATCATTATATAGATGGAGCGCGTGTGAAGTTGTCACATGCCTGCTTACAGGATCAATAATGTTCATTTATTTTCGATCCAAACGAAAAAACAACAAACGCAGTAACTAACGATGGATGCCATTCGACCATCCCGAGTATGTACATCTCAGTTGATACACACAGAAGTATCACACAAGTGCGTGCAAGTGCAAAAATTGTTATACTGGGGAATATTTTTGTAGTCTGTGTCAACACTGTTTCAGCAAACAATGACAAAATTTATCGGGAATATTCATGAGTCCAAAAAACGAGAGATAATAATCTTAGGCAATGTCAGCATAAACGTTAATGTACATTAATGCGCTTACGAAATGAAATTCACAAATCGTTAGGAGGCCTTAACTAATCTAATCTACTTCGCTCATATCATTTTTAAAATAATAAATACCCTGAATGGATTATTCATTTGAATTTGAAAACTCTTTTGTTTCATTTGTTCGAATTATTTTTCATTTCATTTAAAGTAATTTTACAGCTTTTCGTACTGGAAGGTTCAAAAGGCTTGTTTCACTTGCATGCACAGAGCTGAGAACCCTTCTAACAGAACCTATTGAAATGCAATAAGTTCAGCAGAAACACTAAACAGATTTTAGGTTAGCTCATTACAATATATGCTATGATCGACAAACAGTTAATGAGTAAACATGCCATTTTTGTTCATAGTTTTGATGAAATAATACAAGTTATGGCTGAAAGGGGTGTGCTGCTTTTTAGCTTCTGAATTGAAAAAATTAAATAACATTACGTCAGTTCAGTATATTCAATAAACTATAACGTAAAGGTTTCATTGGAATTGGACAAACGGTGTAGGGACAGAAAATTACTTACAGTACTAAACACAAATGAACATTGCCACTCCTCATCCGTCAACAATCATCAATAGAAACGTTTAAAAAGCGATCGAAGCAGCATCTGTTTGAACAGGCCTTTTGTGGCCGTGCTGACATTTGTTTATCCGAGCGTCTCTGACGCTATGCATAGGGCGCTCATAAATGACATTATTATTATTATATAAATGGCGTTATATATTTTGCTGTTTTTACTGTAAAATTTTTGAAAAACGTATTTGTCGAGAATAATACCACAGAAGAAACATTCACAGTTGAAGTATACAAATTTCTATTGACAACTGTAATTCGTAGACGTCAACTTTTTCAATATTTCTTACAGACATCTTCAGATGCACTGTAATCTGATTCTAAGTCGAAGAGTATGCCAACTACGACAAAGGTTTTTTTTGCTTTTGTGGACGGACCTCAGGACATTCAAGGAATGGTACAAACGAGTAAATAAACGTTAATTATGAATGTGTGTGCATCAAACATCATTTTATTCATTAATGAAAGAATATAATTTCACATGTATCGCCGTGGTTTTTGAGTGAACGCTGGTTAACGCAACGTAAGCAATAAGTAGAAACGTCCTACTCTAATAAATAACATAATAATAATCATGACTCATATAAAGCGTCACAGCGAGCGACCGAGTCGATCAAAGTTTGGCATCTGATAAATGCATCGCAGGATACTGCAAACGTTAAATGTATCAGACAAGTCTGAATTCGGTACCACGTGAGGCGTTTATGTAAATGAAACTTGGACTAAGAATAGCTGTTTATGCTAGGCGTTTTATCCTTGTCAGTATATTATTGAAATAATACTAAAAATAAAACAAAAATGAATCTCAGACCATCATTTTAAAAATTAAAACAAAAAGTGTTTAACAAAAATGGCACAAAATGAAGTGCCATCAGAAAATCTTTAAAACTTGTATGCCGTAAACTTTTTTATTTCTGCTTAATGTAACTGATTTGTTTTTGTAATCACAATTCTTATTTCCTGCCTTGCATGTTGTTACAATATTGGTATCTTTATTCTTGATTTAACAGATATGGTTACATTCTTTGCGTGCGATGCGAGAGTTTGGGGCTTACAGACTAAATAAATAAAAAACATGGTCTGAAGAAAGTCATGACGGCCAAGAAAAGTACCGCGTTCATTTCGCCATCATAAATTGAGAAAAAGGGCATATAAAATGTGCTTCGACGTTCGCACGTTGGAAATGTGTGGCGATGGGAATACAATAAATTTTTAATGATTTTATCTACATAGAAGATTAACTCGTTATTTCAAAAGTGATACCAAAAAGTTGATAACTAAATAATCGATAAATTTACTAAAATAAATGTAGATTGAGATGAAATTTAAATTCCGATTGCATTTTTTACGTTAATGAGTTGAACATGAAACATCCGATAAATTATATCAAAAATGTTTTCTCCTACGAAAAATATGTCTAGCATTAGGCATAACTGTCTCTGTATGAGCTTTACTAACATACGAAAAAATCGGTTCTTTATTACGAAGACAGGTAGGTCACTCGCAAAACTGCTTACACATCATTCTTTGATGGCTAAACCTTAGTATTACAAAGGCCGAGCTAACTCGCTAACAGATTAAATGATAACAAAGTACTGTCTTTTAAAATGTTGACATTTTGTTACACTTTACCATTTTATAAATAATTAAAAAAGCTTTTTATGTACTATCAATTTATTTAAGCATGAAATACGATAAAAAAATGGTGACAAGAAATCAGGCTCTGAATATATGAACAACCCTAGAAACATATTTTCTGCAAATGGGACATTCAGCCATCTGTTTCCCACAATATTTACAAACTGCCATGTGCCCGCACTCCAGTAATACGCAATCTATCACGTTCTCCATGCATACCTTGCACAGGTCATCAGATGATATTTCATCAAGCTTCTCCACTGCAACGATAGTTAATTAATCAATAACTATTTCTTCTATGTAAATTTCAATCACAAAAAAGAAGGTACTTGATTTATTTTTTGCATGTTCCAGGAATAAATTTGCAACCATGTTTGACAGTTCAGACTTTTCACAGCAACCTTTATAATTTACGAAATTGTTTGTCAATATATCTTTAATTTGCCGAACACTGAGCAATTCAATATCTGAAACGTCTTTTAAATCATCCAATTTTATTCGCTTTTCTGAAATCTGAGAAGAAACGTGTTTTAAATAGGAAAGCATTATTATTCACCAAATAAAAACAAATAGATAAATTTAATTGTTAAAAAAAACCTTTACATTATTAGCAGATGCTTCATGCTTCGCAAATGAATTTGGAGAAATTCGTGAGACCTCGTTAGGCACCTTTTAAAAAATCATTAAAAAAACAATTCATAAAACTATGTTGTGTATGCGGCCAGATATATATATATATATTGAATTGAATTGAAATGAATTTTATTTGGCAAAAAAGCACAGGAGATCAAGATACCAACGTATGTGCTGACCACCTTAACTAAAATTGTGTCTCTATAGATAAGATGTAGTGATGAACAAAAATATTTGAAAATGAACAGTTGCAAACAAATATATATATATATATATATATGTTAGTAATAGACCATAATTTTTACAATATTCTATAAATTCTACCGAATGTTTGGCGTTAATATGTTTGTAGTTCGTTTTTTCGATTTTTCTCACTAAAGTTTTTTGGTGAACGTTTAGTTTATTAAAATTCAAAATAAACTTATTTTCCGAATTCATGTATATATATATATATATATATATATATATATATATATATATATATATATATATATATATATATATATATATATGTCTCTGTGTCATTTGTTCTAGGGGATGTTCTGGATTGTACTGGAACAACTGAAGCTGCCGTTCGAGCACGCATACGTACGAGTACGCAGCCTGGAATAAATGGCATCTCCTTGCCTCTACATTGATGCGGCGTGACATCCCACTACCACTACGATCAAGACTTTATAAATCTGTGATACGTCTGGTGTTGTTATATGGTGCAGAAACATGGCCAATGACAACCAAACTGGAACAACAACTTCAACGAACCGACATGAAAATGCTCCTCCTATGGATGCAACGAATTAGTCTGAAGAACCACATCAACTCTACCGAAATTCTGCGTTATGCTGGTTTAGAAGATAAAAAGGATGAATGCTGGCAACACCGTCTGCAGTGATTTGGTAATGTCAAACGAAGTGGAAACAGTGCCATAACTTCTCTTGCAGATGTTGAAGTACCTGGCACACGTCCCAAAGGCCGTCCAAAAAAGTCCTGGTCACAAACAATCGAGCAAGACATGAAAGCTCTAAATTTAAATGAAATGGATACAACTGATCGACTAATTTGGCGCAAAAAGTTGATGGCAAAGAAAACAACGTCCTACCTCGGGAACTGGGTCTCTGGACGCCAAACGAAGATTAATTGATTGTCTCTACAAATATATATATATATATATATATATATATATATATGTAACTGTATATATATATATTTATTTATTTATTACGAAATATCACCGCATTTTCCACATTGTTGAGTTTGTAACTAAGTTTGTTAATTTTTCGAACAATTATTTTATCGATAATAAAATTTCCAATTATTTTAGACTGCATTTTAGAATTAGAAATTTTATTATCAATTTGAATAAATTGAATAATATCAATAAAATAATGTTTGAAATATTGAAAAACTTTGTTAAAAACTCAACAATGTGGAAGATGCGGTGATATTTCTTAATAACTGTAGTCTTAACCCAAACGTATATATATATATAAATCATTAAAAAATCATTAATAAAACAATTTATAGAATTAAGTTAAAATTTTGAAATAAGATTATGGGGCATTACTGTTGATTCCTGATTAAGAACACCTGTAGACGATGACGTGACATCCATGTCAGTATTTTCTGATTGAGAAAGTTCATCATATGAAGGTGGAAGTATGTTCAAGAGGTTTGCCTCTTCTATGTTTGGATTCAATGTAGCTGAAGAAAAACTTTGAAGGTTTACGTTAACGTTGCTGTTATCTGCAGAAACATTGGACGCTGAAAATGCAGAACTTTGGTTGATCGTGTCATCAGTGTCTGGAGAATTTGTAACTAAGCCAAACGTTTGCGAATTTAAAAGCCTGGTGTCGGCTACAATTTCTTGGTGAAATTTGGTCTGCAAATGTTCACAATTAAAAATAATGTTTTAAATATTTGGCAAATAATTAAACAAAACTTGTACTTATTGAAATAAAATATTTAATAAGCAACTAATAACTGAAAATTTTTCAAAACAAATAAACAGTTGAAAATTTTTTAATTCTTTAACAAAACGAAACCTTAAAATCAAAATTAGTTTAGTAACAAAGTACATGAAATATCATTGAAAATATTCATAGCAGAACAAATACTGTGGTAGTAGAGTTGTTGATCGCACATTGATTTATACAAAACTAAACCAAGATTAAACAAAACTTAATCATGAAAAAACATTCTGAATTATTAAAATGAACACACCTTAAGTAATTGTACATGCTTCTGATGTTCAAGATCAACACTACATCGGTCATTTATTGAATAGGTTTTCACGATGAGAGCAATTAAATCTGATTTTTCAAAACAGTTGTCTAATGAAATCTGTTTCCCCATTAAAAAATTCCTCAATTCTTTTGCTGAATATGACTCCAAATCTTTAACTGTATAATTTCTCGAGAAAATTTTAAAACACTTCAAACAGGCTTTGGGGGGTGATTGTTGGGAAAAACATTTTTTGCAGAAAGTTTGACAACATATAGAACATTTCTTTGAAGAAATAAAATTTGTGGAGTTAAAAAACAAAATGTATTAATTGAAATAAACTAACTTTTTTTGTGATAATATTCAAAGATGCTGAACAATTATAACATGACATCATATAAAGCTGAAAATAATAAACAGTATTAACTTATAAAGAATGTTAAAGTACTTCCATATGTACATATGTCATCGTGCATATACACCTAGTTGATTATTATTATTCAATAAAAGCTAAAAAAAATATTAATTTACTTCACTGAATCTCTCAACACGAAAAATGTAGATGCTTCTAAATTTTCAGAATTAAAAAGTTGATTTTTTTATGTATCTTATGACATTTTTTTCATAAATAGAAAATATTTGGATTATGACAAAATTTAAACTAAACTAATTTGATTTGAAATAACAAGTGATGATTAAATTGGTTAAAAGGAAATTCAATTGGAATCTAAAACAATGTTTGGCTTTATGACAATTAAATATAAAAGTTAAAAATGACAACAGGATAAAATAAAAATAAAACATAAATTAATTAAGTTAAAAAAATAAAGATTTTAATTTAATATAGAACCTCCAAATAAAAAATGAAGTGCAAAAATAATTTTGCTATAGAGTGTTCACTCTTTCTTTCTATATTTATTGTTTCTTAATTTTTAGTTAGAGCCAGGCATATTTTTTCATACAAGTTTCTATTCTTCAATTGTAAGTGAAGTAGCTTTTAGTTTTAGTCCTTTATTTAGCGATAGAGACCTAGAAATAAAAAATATACTTGATTCAATCAATAATGAATGTTACTAGTTATAATTATAACAAGACTAAAAGGGTAGTTAATTAAATAATTAATTAATAAGTTGAAACTGTCCACACACTTTATACTTTTAAAAGTTAAGACTGACTTATAATTTATACATAATCTAGTCTAGTTGTAACTTATAAAACCAATATTAGAATAAAATGCCAAATTTTACATATGGTGTCACGACTGATTCACTAAATAATGAGTAAATAAATGAACTTTTTCATTTTCAGTTACTTTTTTCAAATACACTAAAAAATTATAATAATAAATAAATTTATTAAATACGTGTGCAATTAATATTAATGAAGGATAATTTATAATCATTATATTATAATGAATGAATAATCATTTTTATTATTGATTGAATAACAATAAATAAATTAAATTAATTAACCTAATAAAGTTATGTTCAATTATGTTAAAAAATTTTAATGTCATGTTCTAGGCTTTCTTTATTAATATTATTTTTCTAATAATTCAGCAAAAATTTTGATCAATATTGTTATTATATTAATAAATTAAATACAAATACACAGTAATCTCTTACTTAAGTGAGATTAATTATTAATCTTAATTTAACTTTTACTTTTAAGAAAAAAAAGCACATGAGGTAATCTGGTAATGTAAACTGGTAGTTGGTAGATGGTACAGATTACTGATTTGACCACCACACCTGCAACCGCTACCCACTAGGTAGGCCACTACCAACCCAACCGGAGCTTCAGCTACTTCGTTCAATAAACTAAAAAATATACCGCTAAATTGAATGACCGAGAAAGATAGAAAGTTGAAAAATACATCCACAGGTTTTACTAACTAAGTTCGTCAATTCGGAAATGCCCAGTTGAATTTTTTTCTATTTTAGGTCAAGAATAGGAAGAATGATGTTTACGACCAAAGATGTTTTTCGTTACAAAGATATTATAATTTGTATTACGTTTTCTCTAGTTAACTGTACCCATAGAATAAAAGATGATACCATACATAAAATACGCCAACTAATTAAATAAATAAATACAATATTTTAAGATTGTGTAGAAATTATTATAAAAATGTCCAATATAATATATGTTAATTTTGTAATTATATTTACAATTGAAAGTTAAACCCATTGAATTATATAATATAATTATATATTGTTATTATGTATATAATAATAATTATAAATATTTATAATTATTAATTATTATTATTAATTATATATTATTATTATATATATTAATTATATATTATATATTATTATAAAATAGTTATATAATTCCATGGTTAAACCTAACTAACTTATGTTTAGCCCATAGACGTAAAAACTCCCTCTGCTTATGGCTACACGTGTTACACCATATATATATACAGAATATATATAAAATTCTATATATATATGGGGGTTACACTATTAGCGCATGTTGCGCATTTTTTCCGTTTTATTGTTTGTAAATGAGGTGAGCCATAATTTAATAATGTTTATGCCATGTTGTGTTTATGTTTTATGTTTATGTAAAAACTCTCTATTTATGGCATGGAAAAACTCTCTATTTATGTAGATCCATGAATTATAGTTATTCTTGTAATAATCTGTCGTCTCTTTCACGTTTTATCTTTGCAATTGAGGTGAACCATTAAGCATGGCAAAATTAAAACTTTTCGAAACATTTTCTTACATTAAAAAAAGTTTGACTGCATGCACATTAAAGGTACAAAACGTTATCTAACTTCTATATATAGCTTATAGAATAAAACCTTATTGAAGAAGTTCCGATCCAGACGTTACGGTGTTAAGAAATTGAATCAAAACAAAATCATACCATAAAATTGCAGCTTGCTCGTTTTTGGAATATAAAGGGTTTTTTAATGCTTGCATAAAATAAAATAAAACGACCGAAATTTTATAGATAACATTTTACACATACAGACGCAGAAACTGTAACAACATGCAAGGCAGTAGAACAAAATAAAACAAATAAGTAAATAAATACAAAAAGTGAGGAAGAAAAATGTTAAAACATAAAAAATAAAATAAGTTAGAATAAAATAAATAATAATAAAAATAAAAAAAAGTAATTAACAATGAAATATAAAATGAAGTAACGGCAAATTAATAGACTAGATGATGACTTAGTGAGCTAGTGAGGTGATCAATAATTAAAAACTTGATCTGTGAATGATAAAGTTCTAATGAGTATTTATATATTTGATGGTGAGTTAGTGAGGTGATCGATAAATAAAATCTAGTTCTGTGATGATAAAGTTTTAGTTAGTATTAATATGTTTGAGGTGTCTTGTGATGAAGGTCTTTTCTGGTATGTAGATTGTGAGACGACTTGATAGTTATATTGCGCTGACGAAGATTGTGTGTTGTAGTTTTAATTGGTGGTAGTATTAGTATGCTTAGAATAACTAGTAACTACTTTTTTAGAAAAAGGTAAGTAAATTACGACTCACTCCGTATTTGTAAAATAATTACTATTATCAAGATTAAATTATCCGCATTATCTGTATATCCGACAAATAAAACCGACAGCTTCTACCGGTTCTTGATCTTTTTCATTTTCTCTCGAATTTTTATTTTGTTGTTTGTTATAAGTTTGTTATTTAGTTGCAGCGTAGCGTTTAAAAATTAAAACAAAAGCGTGAACGACATTTAGTTGGCAGGACCTTCTCAAGCTCCTATCTCCTAAAAATTTAATTAGTCTCGATCCGTAAGGTTTAATCGTTTGTGCCATTATTTTTAAAAATGCTCTGTAAATGTGTGTTATGCGGATGGAATTTTTTTATTAACATTTTTTTTATCATTTTAATTTTTAAACTTTCGTCAAACTCCAATAGTCGCTCACAATACAATACTGAATACAACATACAACTTACAATACAACTGAACTGACTGATGAAGAAATTGGAGAAAATATTTATTAGAAAGCGGTTTTATTTAATTGACTTAATAAATTTTTCTCTTCAGTGATTTCAAATTTATGAATCAAAGATAATTTATCAAATTATTTTTTTCCAGATTTTGGTTTAGTTTATTAGTAATTTTAAATTAAAATTAAATATTAAAATATAATCTAGAAATATAACTGACGGCTGACTAACTTAATGATATTAATATTATTAAAAGGAATTTACTCAATTACTTTATTTAAATTTATATATATATTATATAGTTTAAAATTCAAAATCCTAAAATCAGCCGCACTATGATTATCGAGATTTAGTTAATTAATTAATATAAAGGCAAATAATTGAAAATAGGTTTATTTTGCTGCCTAATAGACTGTGTATTATAGAGAGTGTTATATAGCTAAAACTTACAAGTAAAAAATAAGATGCATTAGCATTCATTCCATTGATTGTAAATATTTGCAAAACCAGACAACAATGCATTTAACAGATTAAGGAAAAAAACTAAAACTTGATTTAACAATAAATTCAATTGATATTTTTATCAGCTGATATTGTTTTACTTCTTGCAGTAACAGGAAGTAGGATGCTGAAGTTTTATGTACACTTTAATTTACTTTAAGATGAATAATTTTTGATTGGGTTTTATATGTTTGATTTCTGCAAGATATAATGTTAAAGACTGTGTCTGTTAGAAATGCAGCCATAACTTATAAGATTAATGGATGTCTTTTGATGTTATAATCTTGTTAAATTGCTATTTAAATTCATTTTATTGGTTTTTTATTGTTATAATGTATGCAGGGGAGGTTATTTCATTTATTTAAATCCAGTTGGGCAGTGTGACAGTACGACATCTGAGCAACTGGTCTCTGACCAGGTTCAAGTGCAAATTACACCTTATCCAGTATTATAAGCTGATGTGTATATATATATATATATATATATATACAATTATTTATAAAGATCACTGCGTTTTTGGCATTATTCAACTGGTAGTTGAGCTTCTCAATTTTTCTAACAAGACTTTTATCATCTTGACTTTTATCATCAAGACGATAAAAGTCTCGTTAGAAAAATTGAGAAATTCAACTACAAGTTGAATAATGCTGAATAATGCAGGAAACGCAGTGATCTTTATAAATAATTGTATTTATGATAGTCTAAACTCATATAATGTATGTATGTGTGTGTATGCGCGCGCGCGTGCCTGTATATATATATATATATAATTATTATACTAGGTCCAAATAAAATGATTTTGTTTAAATATAGATTGAGGTTGCATGATTTTAATTCCTCATATGTGCCTAAAAAGAAATTTCCTAATTGTGTGTGTGTGTGTGTGTGTGTGTGTGTGTGTGTGTGTGTGTGCGTGGAAGTGGAAATATATTAACATAATTAAATTTTTGTTTTTGTTTAAACTATTTGGATTTTAATTATTGTAAATTGTTGAACTTTCACCTTGGATAATGTGTTTTTGTGTATTTATCATGAATTCTGCCACTTGATATTATGAATCTGTCAAACATTATTCACCTTAACTGGTGCAAAATAACCTAAAATGTAGCATTGGTTGCAGGTTAATGAAATGAATACATGCAGACATGTACAGAAGGTTCGTCTTTCATCAAATCATTCAGTCCTCGATGCACAAAAATGGACATGTGCTGTTTGTTCTTCCTCTGAAGACATATGGGTTAATTTGTTTTGCTTTGTTGCAGAATGTCACATTTATATTTGAGATTCATTATGTCACAACTTTATAAAATAAAAAATAGTGCAGCATGAAAGTTTTAAATATTTACTGCTGATAAATGAATTTTGTATGTTTTTTTGTTGATACAGGCATGTTTAAGCTGTTCCCATGTTGGATGTGGCAAGTATATCGAGGAACATATAAAGCTTCACTACAATGCAACAAAAGTACTTCAATTTAAAATTTGATCTTTAAAAAATTATGAAAACATTTAGTTTTAATAATAGCACAATTATATTACAATTCATTATTTACAGCATCCCATATCCATGAATGTTTCACAGAAATATGTTTACTGGTTAGCTTCGTTCACTGTCATCATTGTTACATTTATTTTCATTACTTTGAAATTATAAATTTGAATCATCTCCTTTGCACACATTTGCTCACAGTGTTCATTTATTTGCATGTTCCATCCTCTTTTACGACACCTGCTCTTAGGGCTTGGTTCCTATTCTTTCAGTTATTCCCTAGCAAACCAGGCCATTCGTTTTTTGAAGCCATAGTTTTGCATTTTTTGTTATTTTGTTTTCATTTGTTTATTTGGTATAATAACACGAGGTTTACTGGTTGCACTAATGCTGAATGCACCTGCTGAGGTGGTGTTCCAAGAAGAGAGTTGTTTTTAATTGATTCATTTAATTTTTTATTCAAAAGATGCACTTACACCCTATTAACAATCTACTTTCAATTGCCCATTAATATTTTCAAGGTGATTTATTTATGGATGTCGTTATATAATCATTTTAATTTACCTAACGTTTAAATACTTCCAGCTATGAATGTGACAACTATGTACTGAATGATAATGCCGCTGGTGATGTGAAGATATTGAGGAACTGCTTACAGGCTGTATCAACACAGCAACATCAGAACATCCAGTCTAACAACCCTCAACATCTCAATCATTCTTCATCAACGGTTTCATTGAATGAGATTGCTTGTCGGAGGAGTAACAGAGTTCAGAGGTCATCGTCCAACATCATTGCTTCACTCTTGCAAATAACTTCAAAGTGAATTCTTTTGTTGCCCTACACAATTGTTACTTTGGTTTATTGGATTAATTTTTATTTTTCTGAAAATAAATATGCAGACAAATAAATTAATATAATCTATGGATTTGGTTTTTGTTTGAAATATATTATGTGCATGCACTATATATAAAAATGTAATTAATGTTAGGAACATGATGGTTGACAATGCCCAAGAAGTTGCCTACACTGAGTTATGGTTTAGAAGATACTATCTGCTTGCTCACTTCTTCAACAAATGGAAACTCAAATCTTCGAATTTGCAGGTTGTTGCTGCTGTTTCATTTAGCTGCCTGGAAAGTAGTCATTGTTGTTTCTAATTATTTCTGTTTCAAATGTGATGCATTATGAAGAATGCAAAAAAGTACAAATAGTTCATTCACTTACTAAATTATTGGAATTATAGTGTGGTGTGTCCGTCGAAAGTGATGACACAGAAGATGATAGCATGTGCACGCCTAAGAGGAATAACAAAAGGATGAGATGGCAGACCTCTCCAGTCAGTCCAGTCCGATCGAGCAAGAAGAGAAAACATTTCATACCTGGAGCTGTCGGTTTACAAAATCTTGGAAACACCTGCTACATGAATTCAATACTTCAAGTTTTGAGGTTGCTGTATTTTTAATTTCCATGTGTGAATCAGTTTTTGTGCTGAAAATAATTGTAAAATATTTTAACATATTTTAATTATTTATAGTAAAATCACTGTTAATTTCGTTCAACTTTTTGTGTTTATCTAAATTTCCGAAACTTCTTTTCCCCTGTTATTTGTCTGGCATAATAGATGTCAGATAATTTTTCAATTTCGCTTTCTAGATTTTTCTCTATCAGGCTTCTTCCCATCATATTGATTAATATTTCCGTTCACTTTCATTGATTAATTTTTTGTAAGATAGGGATATGTTTGTTGAATTTTTCTGACTTTTGTAGATATATCTCCTTAAACATTTTAACGTAAAAATCACAGACCATTTTGTCTCCATTCAATAATCCAACTTTAAAATTAGCTAATCGGTTTATGTTTCTTTTTCTTGCAATATTTTTAATTAATATTTTCATCAATCATTTATTTTAAATTATTTCAGGCATTTATCACAATTTAGTAAAGTATTCATAGAAGAAAATGCAAACAGGAAGATTAGCTACCCAGACAAGGCTTCTGAATGTTTAAATGCAAACAAATCTGACAATAATGGTTTCATAAAGTTACACAAGGATGTGAGTACATCTGAAGATAGAAATGTCCATCTACTAGCAACCTCAGCAGAACAAACGCCTGCAAGCATCTTAGAACAGAACCTTTATATGGTTGATACTGCAAATGTTCTCAGCCAGAACTCCGTCTCATCTGAATCAGCTGACAGATTATCCGTGTCATCGTCAACGATATCCTCTTCATCAACCACGTCATACAGTGCCACGTCATTAGCTGCTTCTTCTCAGATCGATGATTGTACCTCAATAAACGAACCCAGTGTAACTTTAACTGATGAAACATATGCAATAGAAAATGAACAAGAGACTAAAAATGCTGTTGTTCTCACAGTACCAACAAACACTGCTCAGGTTGAAACAATTACAGAGGACTTTTGTCTGGGGAACTACTTGGTATGTTTACAGTTTGTTAACTTATCTTTTGTTTGTAGTTTTATGAAGTTTTATAAATAGAAGATGTATCCATCTATCTATGAAAATATTTAGTTTTTGTCACCTTATTTTTTTGGATGAAAAATAGTTGTAAATTTAATAAAAACTCTAAGATTATGGTTCATTTCAAATAACAAATTAGAAAGAGCTAAAGCAATGTGATGTTTGATGTAATTAAAGGTTAGAATAGTATTAGTTCCCTTGCCTGTTTACCTACACAGATTATTAAGGAGTATATTGACCTGTTTCTGCCATTTTTCCCTTTTTTATCAGCCTGTGCCTTCATTCTGGCTCTTTTCCATTAGCTTTCAAAAACGCTGTGGTAAGCCCGGAAAAAGTGCATTGAACAAAAATTCAAGTTATTGGCCTGTGTCAGACCTTGTTTTTTGTCTAAAGTTGTTGAACACACAGTCTTTCAGCAACCTGTCATTCACTTAAACACCAATAAACTCTTTCTGGTGTACCAATCTCGTTTTCGTCAGTTCCATTCGACTGAGACGGCTTTATTGGATGTTTGTTCTAATTTGTATTCCTCCACAGATGCTCAAAATGTATCATTGCTTGCTCTTTTAGATAAAAGCATTCATTGGCTTTGATTGTGTTGATTACTCATTACTTTTATGCATGCTCCAATATTCATTTGGAGTATCGGGTGTTGTTCTTCAATGGATTGAGTCATATCTTTCTGGTCGTATACAAGAGGTTCTGTTCAGATCTTACTTGACACAAGTTGAAACTGTGCCATACGGTGTTCCACAGGGTCGGTTCTCGGTCCCCTGTTTGTGTTGTACACTGCTGATGTCTTCAAAATCATTGACAGTTATTAGTTCAACCATCACGGTTTTGCTGATGTATTAAGGGAGTTGCCCCTAAATATTTAACTGGCAGAGTCATTCCTAAGACATTGCCACTACTGAGTCAAACATTGCGTTCTGACAATTCAGGTTTACTGTTTGTACCTAACACAAAATTGGCTTTTGGTCAAAGGAATTTTTCCGTTATGTGTCCTGCTGTCTGGAATGGTTTGCCTAGGGACCTTCGTGATTCTGCATTGTCTGTTATTCATTTTTGTAAAAGGTTGAAACAACATGTTTTTGTCCAAGTTTACCCATGCTCTAATGTCTTTTTCTCTCCATTTATTGCATTGCTTTAGTAAAGTGCTACGCATTGTACTGCAATAAATCGTTAGCGCCTCTGAAATCTTTTTAAAGGGCGCTTACAAACACATCAATAATAATAATAATAATAATAATAATGGTTGAGAAAAGTGAAAACAATAATTATTTGTTTAGAACAATGCATTAAAAATTTGTTGAGTGGTCAGTTGGTCATAGTTGAGAAGCCCATTTAAAAATATTAAAAATTTACAATAAACACTCCCATCTTAAATCTGGTTACACAGGATGTTACAAATAAAATTATTTTATTAATTGATGAAAATTTGCTTTTCTACTTTAAATATTATTTGAATGAATTGTTTTCAGAACATGGATAAGGATTGCATTGAAGTTTGTGGGGGGAAGTTGAGCTTGGAGCAGGACGGATTGGAAGCAAAGCAACCAACCACGACTGATAACAGCATCATTTGTAATTTTCAGCAATTCGTCAATTCAGATTTTAAAATTTGTGTGAATGATGCTGAAAATAACACTTCAAAAAATTATTTCTCCAATGTTGGCAACAAACTTGTTCCGATAACAAGTTCGCATAATAGTTCGTGTGGTTTGGAAAGTAATGTTTCCAGTCTTGAGAGTATTTCTGATTTGTCCTCTAAAGATGTTAATAATGCTAACTGCGACAATGTTGCAGCCACAAATAATCCTGTTAAAAAATTGAAGGCCAGCAGGAAGAGAACACCCACCAAATTGTAAGTGACTCATCATTTAATGCTCCTATCAGTATGATTTTCATTTGATAGTCTATCAAATTGCACTATGACAGGTCATTGTCTCACGAATTGAACTCCTTACTCCGAATCATGTGGTCTGGCAAAATGAGCATGGTCAGTCCGCATAAAATGCTGTACGCTGTCTGGAACATCATTCCCTTCTTCAGAGGCTACTCTCAACAAGATGCTCAAGAGTTCCTAAGGTTGTACGCGTTTTTTTAATTTTGGTTGTTTTTATTCCAATTTATTTTATTAATCTTACTTTTACTTTTATTTCAATTGACATATTTTTATAATTATAGCTAGTACATTCTCACGTGGATATTATGTACATTATCCTCCTACCTAGACTTGTGGCTATAGTGACGTCTTCTGACATTTATAGTTAATATGTAAATGCACTTTGTACGTGATGTGATAATCGTGATCTCCTTGCATTTGAACACTCACTGTTGCACAAATTAGGAGCTTTCAACCATTACACCCTCAAGCCCCCTCTTATTTATTTTCATTTATTTATTATATACTCGTATTTATATGTTGATTTGTTGTTTTCATTTTTAGTGAATTCTTGGACAAGGTTCAGTCGGAGATAGACATAAAGAATTCCAAAAACAGCAATATTAACGGGAAGAGTAACTACGTCAGTGATGCCGTTAAAAGCAAGAATGAAGTAGAAGCTGCCTACAAAACAAACTGCCCACTCGTAAACAGTAATGAGAATGAATGCAGCACAAAAAATCGGAACAGCAATCATGAATACAACTCATCAGATAATAATAAATGTGATAACGGCTGTGTGGCTCTAAACAGTGGCACGAATATGACGGAGGACATCGTCACTCAGTTGTTCCAAGGAGAGCTTATTAGTCAGGCAATAAAATCCTTTTGATATGATAATAATATGTTCCGTATTTCATTCACCACATATTTTTTAAATTTTTATTTCTTCGTTAAAAGTTTTATGTTTTAATTTTTGTTCTTTGTTATTGAACAGGTGCACTGCCTGACGTGCGGTTACCACTCCAGCAGGAAAGAAGCCTTCATGGATCTCTCTCTCGAATTTCCTATCCGCTTTCACACAAGGACTGGCTCCAATAGAATTAATAGTTTGTGCAAATTAGAAGGTATGTACAGTATAATTTTTTTCCAAATAATTTTAATAATGAAATTTTAACAACGAATTTTTCCAGAAATGTTGAGACAGTTCATGCGCATTGAAAAACTGGATGGGAAGATATATGCTTGTGAACAATGCAATTTATGTATGTTTTATTTTTTTTTTATAGTCATTCCACCTATATTCAATTTAATTTTTTGTGGACTGATTATTTTCTAATAATGAGATCAAATATATTTTTTGTTTCAAATTTCTAAACTACTTTTATAACTATAGGCACAAGTGATGGAGCTAGCAAAGAAGTCACAGGACCAACAATATATACTGAGGCAGAGAAAAGGTTCCTCATCAATAAACTACCCAGCGTTTTAAGGCTTCATCTCAAACGATTCATGTATTGTTTTTCCATTGTCTTTATTTTATTTTTTTTATTAATCTTCTTTAGAGCAATATAATTTTTAAGCATTTTTTGCTAATTTCTTAGTTTAATCATCGTTTTGATAGTTATTTTGAAAACCTCTGTAAATTGGTTGTTGCTGATAAAGTTAATGAATTTATTTGGAACTGATGATCAACCAGGTGGTCTGGTAGAAGTAGCAAGGGCAAGATAAGTGTCAACGTTGCCTTCCCTCATCATCTTGATGTGTCAGAATTTTGTCATCCGGATGTGATAACTGACAGTTTCCATTACAACCTGTCAGCCGTTGTCATGCACCACGGCAGAGGTTTTGGGTCGGGTCATTACACTGCCTACTGTTGGAATAACGATGCCGGTACTTCTTCTTGATTCTTCTTTTCAGCATCGTTTCTAGATCAAATTGACTTTTTTTTACATTTCTTAAAAAATTAAAATCGCCATCTATAAAATTCGAATTGTATGCACTCATCTACAATTTTTAAAGGAACAACTTTAAAAGCCTTCGTTAAGTTTTATCGTGTTTAAAATAAGCTTTCAAATTAAAAATTTAAACTTTTTATCTCTAACTTATGAACTCAAATGATCTGATAGGATGTTAAAGTATTTTTTCGTAAATTTATGAAACTTGTGTTATATTCCTTGAAAAAAATGTTAGATTCATGGTTACATTGCAATGATGCGAAGATGCAAAAAGCCACATTGGAAGATGTGCAGAAGGCCCAAGCCTACATCTTAGTATACACCAAGCTCCCTTCAAACCCACACAATGCCAATCTTCAAAATAGCGCAACATCTAACAAACGAAACAACACAACATTTAGCGAATCTTCACCGCTATGTCCCCCTGACGTTTGTCCAAGTTCACTTATGGTGAGCAAAAAAACAACTCCAAGAAGAAGTCGGATACCAAAATTTGCAGACGCCAGTAGGAGATTGCGCGTAGAGAATCAAGGATTGTTTTCAGTCAAACGAACTCAAACAACTATTTGGTGATTAAGTCGTTACACATCAACAATTTCAAATGTTATCAACATTAAAGGCGTGCCGCAGCTTATGTCGCAGCTTATGTAACAAACTTGTATGCCTGTATAGATATAAACGTATGTACATATATTTTTAAACGATATATATACTTATGTGAATTGTTTTAAGAAAATCTCGTTCGATAAAATAATTTATTTTACAATGTGACATTTTTTTTAACGCATAAGACATTTTTTGTTAACTTGTAGGTTGCAGTGTTCAGAAATTCGTTTAAAAATCGAGCAGTACCTATATACGCATGAAATGTAAAACACTTCTAGTGTTTTTGTGCTTTCAACATGAATGTCGTTTGCGTTCAATGTGTGAAAATTTAACAAATTGTGACTTGATCAGATAATTAAGAAGTTTGATGTCTAATTTTGCAATGAGGTCCATTTTATATTCAATTTAAGTAAAATATATATATATATATATATATATATATATGTGTGTGTGTGTGAGTTGCAGAACTTTTGACTTGTTTGCATGTTAGGAGAAACAGTGCATGTGCCTCACATTACATTTGTAAATGAAATTTTATGTTTTTGTCTTCAGCATTTGTGTCGTTACAAATATTTTGTTATGTGTATAATATCGTAATTCGTTTGTTTTACTTGTTTAGAAGTTTTCATTTTATGTAATTGATACCTCAGGTATAATAGTCTTTACATCCAAATTATCTTGTTTTCTACTGACTTTTTGTGTTCCTTGTAAAATTATGATAAATTTACGACATAATTTTTCATACATATATTCAATATAAGAAATGGCAAGACGAATTCACAAATAAATTAAACGTACAATGAATGTGTCTGTACTAGGAATGTATGAAACGAAAGTGACAGGAGAATTCCATTAGCAACTGCAGGAATATTTAAGTCTTAAGCATATACATCAGTGAAAAGAAAATCTAAATATGCTGTGTTTTATCAAGGTGACAAGAATATATTTGAAACGTCTGAATTGAAAAGAAGAGCTCCTAAAATGACGAAGAAAATTATGAATATTAAATTTAATTGTAAAAAAGAATGATTTAAGAAAATATATTCTAAATTAACATGCGTTGTCGCTCTTTTAAATCTTTAAAATAATTGCGGACCTACTCGGACGAAGTATAAAACTATGTATAAGCTGATGGCGGAGGAGATATTGACACGATCTCCATTCGACTGAATGCCTTTGGTGCAACGAACAAGACGAGAAAACAACAATCAATGGTGGAGAAAATAATTTGAGTAAAAAAAAACATTAAAATGATAAAATTAAATGATAGGTATTGTAACGATGGAGCGTTGAAACATCTGCTCTTCATGTTGACTGACTAACAGTCAGTCAGTTTTCTACCGAAGTATGGTGATAAGGAATATGGCTTTATAACATATCTGTTCAATAAAAATTTTCGCTGCGTTAAATTAAATAATTGAAAAGTACAATAAGAATACATGTTTAATATTGATCAAATACGTTGCATTGTGTTAAGGATGGAATTACAAATAGTTACATGATGTCGTTGTCGTGTAGTTGTGTGTCGTAGCCAGGGTTTATGATGACGTATGAAATGTCCTTCCTGTTGCTGCTCATCGATGCTGTGTGTTTCGGGTATGTTGTGCGTATGATTAAAGCAACTAACTACATATAATTCATCTGTCATTATTTCAGAAAAACTCTATATAATATTTTTATAAAACTATACTGTATATATGTGTGTAAATTACACGTTAATGCACACGTATAACCTAAAACTTAAGAAACAGCGTTTGTTAATTCACAGTAACAAGTTCATTGTAATGTATACTGCACCATTTTTTTAAAGTCCGAGTATAATCATACATGACACTTGCAAGTTGCATACCACTGTTAGGTTCAAAATAGTTAGAAAAATTCATCTCTATACATTTCATAATTTGAGAGAAAACTCAAAAGACAGACTGAACCAACTTTGTTGCTTGAGTGGCAGACCAAGCCCGATGAGTCTGTTTTTTATCATCTGCTCAATCTCTTTCTCTGCATTGTCTTGGCTGTCCTTTTTGCTCAGCTGCATAATAATATTGATTCAGTCAAGTTTCAATTACCAATATTTCAACTATTCATGAAAGCAGCTTTCACGATAATGTTTGAATGCTAAGTAACAAACATTTAGCGTAATTGTGAAAGATTTATTACATTCTTTCAAAGTTCAGAAGAGTCAACAACACACAAACGGCGTTTATGAATACGGGCTAAACAACGCTGTGATTGGCGGGGACCCTTTTGTCCTATTCGAACCCGGTCACTGCGTAACAGGATCAGGCGACCTTGATTACTAGGTCATCACGTCGCCCCACGATCAATTTTCATGATCTTTATGATCCATCAGATAAAAAAAGCCCATTATTATTATTTCATCTTTTTTAATAACAATGAAATATACGTAACCTTTTGAATTCCATACAATACAAATACGCAAAAATATAAAACATGTAACTTGCCGTTATAACTTAAAATTTGTTCCCCAAACAATGCTTTTATTAATCGTTAAATGAGAGCAATCATTCAATTGCATTTCGTTATTTATAAGACTGACTGGGGACTGAATGTACGTACGAATATACCCACGCACTGAATGGAGCGAGCTAACACGGATGAAATAGATTGTATTGTACGAAATAAAAGAACGAACGGTGTTGATGACGTGGAAGATGGACCATTTATCTTGATTCTCAGTCCTGTATATCCCGATGGGCACCTGAAACGTTGTCGAACTCAACTTCTGATATAAACGGCCATACGTGCAGACATTCAGATTGGATTCTGACAGGCGGATCTGGAATGATGTTATCAAGCTTAATGCTAGGTTTGCCAACTATTCAAGTCAATCCGATTATTTTATAAAATAATTTCAAATTGATTATCTGCTGACAACATTAGCAAATAAGAATAGAAGCGAGACAAAGGAAACGTTACACATGACAGATGTCCAGATCCCACTTCCTGGTCGATGCCAATGAGCAGACGAACGAACTTTATCAGATAATTTTTCACAAATGCCTTTGAAAATGTTAGCCAAAATTTAACAAAAGAAAGAAAAAAAACATTTAGTAAACAAGCTTTATTAATCTGATAAGAACATTTAATATTTTAAAATTTATATTTCATTTGCAGAGTTTCTTTCAAGAATTCAACATTTTTGTTAATCTGCACTGTTTATCGTATGCTAAGACGCAAGATGAATTAAATTATTTCCAACGCATGCATTATGCATAACGTTGAAGTGTCGTTGTTGAATACAAATTACGGGAATTAGTTGACAATTTCTGGAAATAACCATAACTAGACAAATGTAACAGTCTTGCTAATGTTTAAATAAATTTTTGAAGTACTCAGATATTTGTAAGCAAACTAATAAAACCTGGTACAGGAGAGTATCCAACATGCTAGACGTGAAAACGTTACCAGCCGCGAAAGGGAGCCTGAACATGTAATAGAGGTGGGAGCCCTTCTCTTTCTCTTTCTGCATTCAAATTTTGCATTATTATCTCCTTTAAAATAAAAAACGATTACATTTATTATTCTTCATCCACAGTTCTGAAATATCCAGATCTTCTTTAAAACTCTTCCTTCTCACGTAGCTGCAAATATCTTTTCTACTCCATAAAAGTTGTGCATCCACAGCTGTACCACACAACACAACATAATCACGCATTAGTACGTACACGCAAACACCCACCGACATTCCGAATGTGTGCAGAGAGAACAGAACCACGTCTGCGCGTAATAACGTCAAATAACACATGCGAAATAATTAACGAAAGTTTTTACGTCTTTTTTCGTATCAAAAAATGAAATCTTACCTAGGATCTTACCTAACTCGAAAAAGAAACTATTTTAACATAATCATTACAGGAAGAAACCTTCTCTAATTTGGAGAGGTCGAGTGCATAGTTGTCCTGAGCTCTGAACTGCATGAATCTCATATTGGGAGCCAGGGAGAGTTCGGTGATGATGTTGGCATTGGGAAACAATCTGGCAGTGATCGTGAATGAACGAACGACCGATGACAATGAATACCGCATGGCATATATGATGATGGGCATAATATTATAAATCACACAAAATAAACATTATAGAAACACACAATCAGCAAAATCTCTCTCTAGAAAAATTCGTGTGCTACGACAAATTAGTCTGGCGCGCGCGGTTGTTTCGCGCTGTTTTTAATTGACTTAAAAATATTTGAACAGCACTAGTTTATTAAACCAGATAAAATTAAACTATTCACCATTAACATTAACCATGACTGTGCGTGAACTTGTAAATAAAAGAAAATGAAAGCCCTATTTCATGCTTTCAAGATGTTATTTATTCTATTTGTTAATAAACATTTTTTTTTGTAGACATAGACAGGCAAAGAAGAGAAACAGATGTTCGTATGCACGATCGGATCTAAGGGGTGCCGGTTACATTACATTTATATTCTTAACAAACATGGATTTCTATTTGATCAATGGACATTTTGTTTATAACGTATAAACATGGTTCAAATTGTTTCAGAAGTCTGTAAAAATAATTTTTTTACACAATGAATTGATCCACTTAACGAATTATTATTTAATGAAAGATCCAAACCTAAACATAGACTGAACGGCAACGATAGTGTTGCAATCAGAAAGCGTGTCCTCCTTGCCAGCGTTGGAACTCTCCTTGTTAGCCACCACAACGCAGTAGGCCTTGTGAATGCCAGCCTGGATCAGATCATCTAAGCTGCCAGTTATTTTTTCTTCATGTCAAATAATGATGCAATGCACAATCATGTGTAAACATTTTTAATAAAATATTTGCAAAATGTTCAATTAATCAGTTTACAAAAATGTATTAACTTTTCTATGGTTCCAATCATCCAGTAAACCATAGGAAAGTGACTCATTGTTTCAAGGAATGTTGGCTTGGGTCTAGCGGGTTCACAAGAGAATTAAACAACTTCAAGATGGATAAACAAATAAATTAATAAACAATTAAACAAAAAAAAACAATTAAAAACATAAAAGGTAATAAAAACAAAAAATTATTAAATGCAATTATTAAACAAACAAATAAATACATAAATTATCACTGAAATAAATTAAAATATAGAAAGAAGAAAGAATAAAAATGAATCTCAACTCTTCTTCCAGTAGAAGAACAATGGGATGAAGTGACCTCATGGGCCTCGAATGCGATCTCAGAGGAACAACAAAGTTGTAAAGTGCACTGTTGGCATTCTCGGCAGCCACGATGATGCTCTTATTGGCCCACTTGTAATCCAACGCTTGCTTGTACTTGCAATGATCACACGTCTGTCAAATGTCCTTCTTAATGCCAATGACGAAAATCATTTTGTTCGTATAAATTGCAAAAAATGAAATAAATAACCTTAGTAAGGTGGAGGCAGCACAGAGGACGAGCAGTCTTAACGAGATGGCAGAGTGTTTGAGTCGTTCCAATGTACGGAGTAACAGGAGGAAAGCCACAAAAAATTCTTGAAAATGGTCAAAATGCTTCACAATTTTTAAAATAATAATGATACAACCAACTATACATTCACAAGACTTCGCTCAATTAATGCCACCGCTACATCGAAAATCATGCTCACGAACGAGGAAATGATTTTTGTTGTTGCATGCCAATTTATAAATTAAATATGAAAAAAAATAGATGGTACCAACTCTACATCATCAGCATCTTTGTCTGAAGGATCGTACAATACTTCGTCGTCCTTCTCTTCGCTACCATTATCCTTATCACTACCATCCTCTTCTGCTTCACATGCATCGGCAACCTCCTCACTTTCTTCCACCCCGTCACCTCGGCAACCATCCTCTTTCTTCTCCTTTTCTTCTTCTATCACACCATCTTCCTCTACATTTTCCTCTTCCTCCTCGTCGTATTCATAATCCACGTCCAACTCACTTGTAGAGTTCTCCTCGGAAGCCAGGTTAGCAGGCTTGGCATAAGATTTATAGAGAACCATGGGAGGAGCCGCTAGGCAGTTAGATTTGTTACTTTCGCATTTAAATGTAGAAAAAGAAATAAACTTGGGTTTACGGAGATGCTGTGAAGTCTGGAAATTTGGCGTAGAGGTTGATGTTGAATTGAACATTACGGCGGGCGCTGAACTTGGTTCAGCCACTGAATTAATGCTATTCGTTGCATCTTGGTGTTGATGAACGGAAGAATAATATGTTGGTTCGTTCAAAATTTCAGAAGAAAGAAGAGGAGTTTTCATTTTAAATGGAGGGTTTTTGGAAAGAGGAGGTTGAGTTTGTTGTGAAGAAAGATGACAATCTGAATATTTATTTATATTTAATTTATTATACTTTAAAATAGTTTTATATACTTATTAATTAGCTCCGACAAACGCAAATGTACTTTCATTGTTTACTAAGTTGAAAATGACATTTTTTTTCTCCACAGAATCTACAAACTAAAGCCACACATATTACGTACATTTGTTAATGCCAACGCACAATGCGTATGACAGATTTTGAAATTAGCACGAGCAGCATCCAAACGACGTCAGCGCGCACGAACCCGAAACAGGATGCCCATGTGGCCTAAGCTAACTCGTTCAATAGAGACTAACAACGCGTTATATTGATGATTTTAAAGAAATGTTAAACATTAAAGAAAAGAGATTAAAGAGAGACAGCACAGAATAAATGACTGACCACGAGAAAGTGACGGTCGCTGAGACTTCAGATTTTCTTTCCCACTTCTGTGCAGTATTCTCTTCGACGTTCGTTTGAAGGAGGCTCCAAGGCTACCCACGACACCAGCTGTGTTACAAAAATAAATGCCAACTATCGACCTTCATCAAATAGAATATGTCTTTGTAGAAAAAATTCATAACGGCCAAAAATTTTGAGTTTGGGTAAAAACGTTAGAACAGCGTTAAAAGACGTTCGAAAATTAGAGCAGCAGATTTCATTGTTGTGATAACAACCTACCAAAAAAACGAAACTAAAAAAGACAAAATAATCAGCTTATGTATGACCAAACTACAAAAAACATAATCTTTAAACATTATTAGAATAAACAAATGATTTCAAAGGCTTGTGACATATTATTGCATAATTGAATGATTGAATATAACAACCAGAAATTGGAATAAAAACAATAAAAACTAAGAAAACAACAACGGTTGCTTATATTTGGATGGGCAAGTACAAATGCCGAATTTTCTTCCTTGGTGATGGACATGTAGAAGCAAATGTTTTCAGGCTGCATGATGTGATGGGGACCCGGATTCAACAAGATGGATCCGCAATCAGGGTTCACTTTTATTCCAACCAGAGCAACACCATATCTTACAATGTAATAAAATATACGTCAAGTAAAAATAAAATATAGTGAAAAATGATATTATAAAAAAAGTTAAGCAACACACAAGAAAATAGTGAGCGTTTTGAATAATTAAATGAGGTATTTTGATGAAGACGCTAGCTGTGGAAATAATTAATAACTAATTCATGCATTGATAGACGGCGATAGTGAGTAACGTGCGTGAAGCGTCTTGTTCGACACCACACGTGGCTTGCAAGTTTATCCTAATTAAACATGCTTAAGCGGTGTTATTTTGGGATCTCGGAGAATTTACCACGTTGAGTACCACTTACATTGTACTCGGTATGCGTTTGCTATTTCTGACGACTTTATAAATGCTACAACTCTAGTTTCTACAAGTGGAGCATTTGACACGCCCACACCAGCAGTTGTATTCACCAGCAGAATTGATAGCAGTGGACTATCACCATTGGACTATCACCATAGGCCATCAACACCGACTTTATTCCTCTGTTCAGGAAACGTAAATCATCCAGGTATAAAAACAAAAATCAGAAATCAATCATAACTGATGCATAGAGGAGAACAACTAAGTTGGAAAAGAAATAGTCTGACGAAGTGTCTTGAAAAAGATGTGGAACATTGTACAACACAATGACATCTTATTTTCCATTACATTCAAACACAAAGTGATTAAAAATGGAAACATGCAAACTTGCGGTGAGCGTGGAAGGAAGCATACGTAAATGACTTATTGACATATTCGCCAAAAAATTGACTCTTGCATAGCTGGATGTCGTATATCTCGTTGCCACTGCAGTAGCCATAGAGGTGCATCCATTCGTCGCGAGCCGTTTGACCCTCACTTTAAGAAAAATTATTATTTTTTGAGAATTCGCGTAATTACATTAACCGTGTTTTTGATAACTGCAGGCAAACATTTGAAGCATTCAAGTGAAAATTCAACACTGGAATAAAAATAACGAAAATTAACAGAAGAATTTCAATAATGACAATGAGATAAAAATTAGCAAACAGAACATTAAATAAACCAAAAAACAGCATGCCAATGAAACAAACATGAAAATAAAGCACAGAAAGTACATGATGCATGCCGGCCAAGTAGGACGAAAAATAAATGCATAGATACCGATGCAATGCTTGATAACTTGATCTATTTACAATGGCTGTGCTATTAATGCAGTTTCTGCTGCTGCTGCTGCTACTCATGATGGCGATGATGAGGATGAAAATAATGTTCTAGTGAGACAACTACTACACGTCATTTCTTATGTAATGTTACCTGCAACGTTGTTTACAAACCACAGAACGTAATTATAGCTAAAGCAAAATAATCCGTGTGTCTGTATTTGAAACAAAAGAATATAAAACTTACCGCAAAAAATATTTCTGATAGAAATAAAAATTACCCATCTACTCGACACCTTTTACAACTTATCTTTTTATTTTTTTATATCTTATCAAAAAATTTAAACAAATTTTTAAATTAATTGTTCTCGTGAAAAAACTGAAAAATGTTGACATCATTAAATATTTAAACCAAAAGAAAAAAACTATTAACTGAACGACCGAATGACGGTGGACAATAAAATAACTTGGAAATAAAAAATATCTGCCAGAAGAAATGAGAATGGATGGTCCAACTACTGAAACAAAGGTGAAAAGTACGTACGCTCCTCTGGAAGTGTGCAGCAGGAGAGTTACCAGGGTGGACATGCCGGGAAACAAGCAATTGTTCGCCAGCAGTGCATATTTGAATTCGTCCTCGCAGACAACATGTTCTTCAGCATTTCAGATTGCATTGTCATTAAAGTTAAATTTCACTTTTTGCGAATGGAAATTTGAATTAAAGGCTCAAAACAAACGAAATCTTAAAGTTAACAAAACATACGAAGCAATGAATACAACTGAACATACATACATACATACATACATACATACATACATACATACATACATACATACATACATACATACATACATACATACATACATACAAACAAACATATGTATATACACACAAATACATACACACACACACACACACACACACACACATACATATATATATATATATATACACACATACGTAGAAACATCACCCCAACTGACGTGAGAGCAATATATTAATATTAAACGCTAGCAATATTGCTGTTTGAGTTTGTTCCTTGTCTGTGAAATTATTGTCCATCTTCACGAAACAAGATTTACAAAAGTCATAGGATGGAGAAATTATAGAATTTTATATTCTTTTGCTACTTCAAATAATGAATAAGAATATCTTTACACAACCACAAAAACGTTGCAATTTAATATTCTAGAACTATCAACCACATAACTTTTTTTTCATATTTATTTAAAAAAAAACTCTCAATTAATTTTATTTGTTTTAATTTTTCAACAGTCTTTAAATATAATATTATACAAAAATAAGTTAGAGAGTATGAATTTTAAAAATGGTTCAATCAAACAGCAGTGACCAACCTGCGAAGTGGACATGAAGTTTGCTCTCCGGCCTAAATATTTGTACATACTGGGGACAGCGGGGGGCAAAGTCCTTCACGGCCCACGATCTCAAAATCGTGTGCTGGTCCTATTAAAACAATTAACACAACATGCTGAAATATTCATAATCGCTATCAGTGGAAGTATTCTGTGTTATTCAATTGATATATCTTAAATAACAACTCTTGTATTAATTACTTTTAGAATTTCATTAAATTTTACTCAAACATTAGTTAAATAATACAATCATATTTGGATGAAAATGCGAAGAAAGCATCAAGTTGCTTGAACATTTATGTCCCAACTGGGGGTACATACGAATGCACAAACATCAATGTGAAATATTTACATAAATAAAATGAAAGTATGAATAAATGAATGCATCTAACTGCAGCAGTTTTGTCCAAATAGGTCCTTGCAGCTATCATAAAACATGCCTGAGCGTGTTGCATCCTGATGTCAACATTACTAATTCAAATTATGGTGTGGTTTAACACTATACAACAACAAAATCAATTGACAATAACATATCGTGAAACGGAAATTTGGTTGGAAAAGTTGTTTTGTTAATTGATCGCCATCATCCTCTTTTTTTACAAAGCGCCCCGCCGAGAAACAAGCTGCGGCTCAGGTACGTTCACGATCATCACAACAGTCTTAGTCAACAGTTTAAGTCTAAGCCCAATTTCTTTTCACAGAGTTTCTATCTAAAATACTCGACGTAGTCTAATTTCATCTTATAAGAATGTTCAATATTTTCAACACAACTAACCTAGCTTCATTTATTTTTTCCTTTTTATATCACTAAATCCACATCACTTCATCTTCCTTTCCCTCTGTCCAAATCGTCTTAACGTTTATTACTTAAATTTGCATTCCTAATCACAAAACTATTTCTTTTATTATATTCATTTAAACTTTCCTCTCTTTTGACTTTGAACTCATTTCCATTTAGATAATTTCCATCTCCTGCTCCTTGCAATATTCCACCGGCTAACATCATCACTCTGGCCGCAAAGCAGTAGAATCATTATCAGGCTTCAACACAAATTCAAATTAGATTAGATTACCCAAAACAAACCCTCAGTTCTGAACAATGCAAGCAAAAATAACATATTGCAACTCCATCGTACGTAAGCAGCCACCATCACATCACATCTCCAGCTCCTTACATTTCCACCAAGCCAACAAGTCAACACGATTTACAATTTATATAAATGATGTGAAGTAATAGAACCATAGTATCCTCTAATAAACGACCTGCATCTAGAGAGGTCCGAATCCTTAAGAGCCGATCCCTTTATATAAATGACACGTGCAGCCCAAATTGGTACCTGCAAACAAGTTAGCCAGACAAATGTTATTAACATACCGCAGGAATCTTTGCGAAATTCTGAATGAAGACGTCATCAGACTAATAAGAAATTTCAATGCCACGGCAGCTTGCAAAATTATTATTTTAAATAAAAAAACATAATTTAAATTAAAAACACAATTGAAAAAGAAGCAACTTGGAGTATGAGTTTCATGGTAGGGTCAAGATCACCAGAAGACAGCAGTATCACGTAGTAACTCTGTTTAATAAGTTCCATAATTACGCCCAACTAAAATTCAGAATATGACAAGTAGTGCAATGAAAAAAAATAAGATGAAAAGTACGTTGAAATTTTGAAAAGGCTAGACTGATATTTCTAAAAAAAATTCATTAAAACAGATGCTGCAAAACATTAATAAAAAAAGTACAAGTTAATCAAAATAATTTTTAAATTTAAAATAAACTCACCTGTACTTCAGGATGCGTGTAGAACTCGTTGAGGAAATCCATGATGGTGTCAGCATGCAGGACAGTTGCAACAACGACGACGTGACATTCCGTCTGCGACCTGCGGTTGTAGTTGCCTCCCATCTTCTGCCGCTCCATCCAAGTGAAAGCCAACTGCTCGAACTGTTAAAATGCCTGTAAACTTTCTGAACACGTACACAAGATGGAATTAACCAAATTCAATGAACAAATTAATAAACCTGCGTTGGCAGTGCAATGAATGCAGAGCAAATAAGAATAATCATGAAGAGTTTGCTGGGCCAGATATCTGGATAGACATCGCCATAGCCCACCGTTGAAAATGTCACTGTAACAAACCAGATGGAATCAAACAGAGTAAGAGGTCTGTGCCATGAAATCAAACACACAAATTAAAATCAAATGCAGGAATTGAAATCTTATTAAAACGACTAAAAAGCAATAAAAATATTAATGCAGTTAAATATAAAAATGATAGAACGGTACGAACTTGGTGCTGGCTCTCTGCAGATGTTGAATGCCACAAACACTAGTAAATACAAGGCATGAGATGGTGGCTACCAGGAAGATCAACTGCTGACTCAACGCTGATTGGGACTTCTGCATCACTCGATGCAGATCGCTCTATTTATGAGTAATTTCATTTGAAGGAGTTGAATAATTTTCATATGTTCATTTCCTCAAGACAGCAGAAATTTTATATAGGAAAAATAGCTGGACAAAGAAAGACTAACCAACATGTTGTTCAAGGCTTTCTTGGCTAGCCAACAATTTAAAAACACTGGTATAAACAGGTTTCGTAGTGGAAGATGAAAAATCTTGAAAAATGTTTCAGATGTGAAATAAATTTTTTTTAGCAGATATCAAACAACAAACTGCGCGATATAAAAGAATAAAACGTAAAATTCTTATAAACGTAGTAAAGTGACAAAAAGCTATTCACCGTGATGATGAAAGGAATTGTGTTGATGGCTTCAAGCAAAAAACCTGGAGCTAAAATTTGGAGCATTATATTTCCCTGAAAAATTTTCAAATGAAGGAAATATTAAAAAACAAGAAAAATGTGGATCAAACTAAAATCAATTACACTACGTAAATTAAGTTATTTCCAGTACAAAGATGTCAGCTAATTCAAGAAAAATATTCATAATGTCGTTTTACAACTCACCGAGCTGAGATCATTGAAACGATAATAACGTGCAACGAAGTAATTACCGGAATGCATGAAACATGCAAAAATCTCAGATGCCAGTAAGATTAACTGCTATATTCAAACACTATGAAGCATCAAAAGCAACTAATTAGCTTCAAATATACTAATATAAATAATATTAAAAATAATAATACATACGTACAACCTTATAACTGATATATGTGACAAGCAATGTTTCAGAAAAGCTGATGATGGCCACACAGACCTGGATACCCCAGAGCCAAGCATTTCTGTTCACCCAAAAGATGGCATTCCTTTCATTCAGTAACAACAATTAAACAGTAGTACATTGAGATGATTAAAAAACATTAAACATGCAAACATTAAAAGTTCCAAACAAAAATTTTGTTGTAATCTAGACAGATCTGCTGCAGTGTCGCCTGCAAAACAGTGTTAGACGGATCATGTGACTTTTAAACGTGTAGTAAAAGCAATTCCTTTGAGATTTTGAACAATCTTGGCCACATGGTAAAGAAAAATCAAAATGAACTCCTCCTTTTAATTGCCACTGAATGCATGTGTCCACTTTCCACTTTAATGTGTTTTCATTAAGTCTCACTCATAAACAATTTATCCCCTCCATGTCAAAACCAATTCACTGAAAATAACTCACTTGCATCCAACGGCACAAACATTATTAACTCCATCTACAAGCATTAAAAAATGTTATAAACGCTAACAGCAATAGTAACAAAAACAAATGAAAAAGCATTAAAAAAGAGCGCTGCCGGAACTATCTGAAAAATAATTTGTACGCAATGACTGGCCTGTAAGTATTAAGCTGGTAAGTATTGAACAAATAATAAAGTTTAGGTTCGCACTCAAATGTTTATAATTATTTCTTATTTTCATAGAGATTTGCTTTGTTAGTGCAGCCAATTACTGTTTAATAAAAATTAAAGTTTAAAATATTTCAACAGGTTCATTTCTTAAAATAAAAAAATAGGTATAAACATTCATTTTTTTAATTATTGATTTGTCACATAGTTTTAACTACCATGCAATAAACTTTTATAAAAATTGTTTTGTTTTGTGATAAAAACATAACTGAACAAAATTTGTAATGGAATTTGAAGTAAAATGAAAATAGGATTGATACCAATTTATATTTCCAGGACTGACGATTTTATTCAATGAGCAGTGTTCCTTAACATCACCTGACACCAACGAATTATTGTCCGATGAGATCATTGAGCTGAGAAGATCAAACACACGGAGTATGTAGATTGTAAAAAAAATAGTTAATAAATTGATGATAATACTTAAATCATAAAATGTGTAACAAAAAACATCATCTGATTAACCAAAATATACAAGTACAGTTTGAGAGATATGTATTTAAAATGAGGTACAAATGATATTTAACAGACAAGCCGTGCAAAGAATAATTTGTGGACAAAAAAGAAACTCAAAAAGAAATAGAATAAGAATGAAAAATAAAAACTGCACATAAAGTGTTGTTGCAGCAGGGAAAAAGTTGATTTAAGGCTTTGCTGTGCTGCCAGATAAAAATTTAGAAACGACATAGCAGAGGGAAAGCTAACAATATAGTGTGCAGAGCAAATAACAAACCAATGGATGCATAAAACATTGAAACTGTATGGCAGCTTAACATGGCATCATTTGTAAGGTCTGTTATTCGTACATATTTATTACTTGATATTAATTTTCAGATCATAAATTAAATAAAAACGGTAGCTATCAATCAGTCAACCAAAACCAACACTTATCGAATCATTTCAAACAATTAAAGATTGATGATTCTAAGAAACTGCAAAACTAAATTACGTTCAAATAATACAAATGTATTTTTTTAATTTGTAAAAATTTAGCATGCTTAATGCCCAGCTACTCTTTGCCACCTCGTGAAATTCTCAAGGCTTGTTATATATCAAATTATTTTTCATCATATCAGGAGAAAAAATCCAATTGTTCAAAAAAAAATGAAAATTTAAATTTAAAAAATATTGACAATTGCAATTTGTAATTGGATAAGCTTGTGATTTCAAATATAAAATGAAAACATTGAAAAATCGATGAAACATCTCATACAATGTGTGAACATTGGATTGTTATAAAAAAAATTTTATCCGAACAAATATGGTACATTGATCATCTTAAATTGAATATTCACGACCCAAACGTAAACAACATCATGAAGGGATTGAAACCGTCATTGAAACCGAAATTGTAATGATACATTCAATAAAACAAGACAATTGCGTTTTGGTGATGTTTTGATTTGACTAATTCCTTATCTTTATAATTTCTGTTGTTATTGTTGTTGTTGTTGTTAAATCCTAAAAATATACAGAACGAGTATTGAGCGAAAAAGGTTTTGATGCGTTCAATAATTGTATAATTGCATTTGCGAGGAACATAACACATTACACAAACACATACATCACGCATACACAAACCCATACAATTACATTCAGGATATAATAACGCTTTTGTAGTAGGGCGTTTTTTTTTTATTTTACTGTGAGAGTGTATTGTATTAACATCTGCAAAAATTTCCACCACTTGACGTTTAAGAAACCTCACAACATTGCTTGCAAGCTCGTTAAAAAATTATAAACTTCGATAAATTTAAACTAAATATAATTCTTGCGACAATCAGCAAGAAATACTTCATCCAACTTTAAAAGAATATGTAATAACATAATGAATTAAGTGCCTACGATTAAAAATGATAAGTGTTCACCATGGTTGAAGTTTAATTCAATGTGAAACCAAATGACCAAAAACTAGTTGATCAATGTTAAATATACGTTGTATTTGCTCCTTATTTTAATGCTTTGGATTGCAAGATGATGATGGCAATAACATCGTATTCTTTAAAGTCGTAATTTAAATTTGTAAAAGTGAACAGTAAGAAGAATGCCTAAGATGATAAAGGTTGAAATAAATTGAATGTTAACTAACCAGGAAGCATCTGTAATATTAATTGAGTGTTGGTCTAGAAGCACTCGGACCACATACAGAACGCAGGAAAGCAGTTTTATGAACAGATTGAAAATTCTTATTCGTAGGCCTGTGAACGCAAAAAATAAAAATATAAAGCAAATTCAAAAACGATTTCAGTTAGAACATAGAGCAATTAATTTAGAAACAAAATAACAAAACGTATTTGTGATCATCCAAAAAAAATTGTTTTCTCTCAGGTTTTTGCTCAAAGATCAACCAAATCAATGTAAATTAAACGTAGGCAGCTGAATCAAAAAGCTTGCAACACAAATGCAAAAATACAAGACACCTGATCAAGATGAAAAGCTTGTCAGTTAACCGAATATTAAGTTAAAAGTTCGTTTGAAAAATGTGCATAAAATTACTTGGAGTGGAGAATTAACAACACTATTAAATAAACCAGAGATAAAAAAAACCTTTAAATCATCGTTTAAAAACGGCACCACGTAAATGCCTGTCATCGAGCTATTTTCTCATCTAATCCTCATTATCCATTCTTTTGTCCAACTAAATCAACATACTTTTTTTCTAAACCAAAGCAAAGGCCTTGCAATTCATACATAGCATGTATGCACAATAGTTATTGGATGCGTCTGGTACTGATGCACAACTAAGAATCCAAAAACCCAGCAAAACATTCAACAAAATTGCCAAAATAAACTTACTTGTTGTTTGGTTCTGCAAAAAATAAATTTGTAATCTCTCTTTGAAGGTGTTTTCATTGGTGAAGAATTCAACCTTAACTCTGCTATGGTAAGATTGTATAATCGTTTAAATGAATTAATTATCTTGAACGGTAGATTGGCAGTATCAAAATACTTTCTGATTGTTTATTAACAAAAATTTTTATATTCTTGGAAGAAATAAAATAGCGTAACAATAAACTACATTATAACACAATTATTACATTTCAAAACAACGTTGTACTACGATTATGAGAGGGCAGATTGAAAACATTAAAGAGATATTAAACTTGAATTTGTTACAGAAATAACAAAAAATCAACATCGTGAATAATGAATAACATCCAGCTTAATTTTAAAAAACCATCAAAAAATAAATAGGTAAATGCACGATTCGCATGTAACACGTACTACACGAATTAACTATTTTGTGTTATAAAATTAACAATTACTTGGTCGTAGAATAAATTCTTAATGAATGAATGAATGAATGAATGAATGAGAATGCTTTCTTTATTATCGTGTGAGTATTGGGATGAATAAACATTAAAAATTTGTTGGAAAGATGTTTAAGAGTCAGTTCCTGGCAACGGACTCATTATTGGCATAAATAATTTATGAAATGGTTATTGTCCCTGTCCAGAAGTACCACATAGTTACGTATACATAGTGTACTTGGTACTTTGCAGTGATGCAGAGTACTGAGAGGGATGATGCTTTTTTCAATAAAGTTTATAATGGAAAAAATACAATAAGACAATTCCAGTATAAATTACCATGACTATGATTCATGTTTGACATATTATATTCGCTATCCTAAAAAGCATTTTTTTCACCTTCATAGTATCTAAATTAGCAGCAAACGATAGAGAATAATACAAATCTGTGAAGCTAATTCAGGGAGGCAATGTTGATGTTTTTCAACAAGAAATTAATCATTTTCCTATTTTAAAATTGTAGATGCACTCTTTTTTCTTCATTTTTACGGCATTTCAGCTCCCTGTTGGTGCTACGGTGTGCATTGTTGGAATGGGGTTTTATTCTTATATGGTTATTTTGTTCTGGTTAAATCGCATCATATAGATTTATGTATTTTAGAAATTCTATTAGTTTAGTTACGTCTTCTCTTCGCGCGTCTTGAAATTTTGTGGGAGATTTTTGTCAATAAGATTGTCAGCAAATGGGGTTTTGCAAGCTATTATGTGTTGAATTGATAACTTATGTTCAGAATATTGGCATATAGGTTGCGCCGTTCCATTTAATAATCTATGAGTTAACTTTGTGTGTGCTATCATTATTCTATTAACTTCTGATGTTGTAAATCGAGTGTTATTTGTTTTAAATCTTTTTTGATCAAATGGTAATACATTTGTTAATCAATATGCGGTTGATCACCACATCTTGAATCCTGTTGACCACTTTAAAAATCTTGGTGTAATAATCAGCAATCGTTTCAATTTCGGTCGGCACATCACTCATATAGCGTCTACACGTGCATACCTGATCACCAAGCGATAAAGACCTTCTCACCAAACCTTTCTGCACATACGTTCGACCATTATTTGAATATTGCTCGTCCGTCTGGAATCCTCACTAGAAATACCAACTGACAATGATAGAAAGTGTGCAAAGGAGATTCACAAAGTTCATTCTTTCAGTTCGTCATCTTTCGTACCCAACTCGTCTGTGCTTAGCGGGATTACAAACGTTAGAACATCGCAGACTAATTTCGGACCTATGTTTTGTGTACAAAATATTAAACAACGTTATCAGCATTCATTTGAATGATCTGTTTTCTCCCTTGTCCTACCAGTCGACTCGTGGACATCCTTACAGACTACGTGAATCTAACACGACAGCAACTTTTTTAGTAGCAGAATTGTTCGAATATGGAACTCATTGCCTGAAGAGATTGTTTCGTCACCAACATATTCAATTTTCAAAAACAAAATAACTTTAGTAAACCTCAACCAATTCTTATCTATTGTGTTAATATTGAATATTTCTTTTTCTCTTTCCTATGCCTGCGCTTAAGAAATGTAGGTTTTGCTCTCTGGAAATGCATGGGCTAACATTTTGACTCTAACTTATCATTACATTACATGAATTGTCATTTCTATATGACTGTTAAAGTGTGTGGAATGATTTTTTGGTTCGTGTTTGTGTACTTGGATTATACATTGCTGTTGAATAAAATGTTTGATTGATTATTTGTTGATTGATTGATCGATCGTCATGCTGACAATGCAGCGTTATTATCGTTTTTATCCTTTTTAATTTCGTGATTACGATATGACACTTATTTAGTTTTGATCTCTTTTTCATTTTCTGCCATTTTTTTAATTGTAATTGTCTGTTCTTTTTTTTCTGACCGGGCAAGTGGCCTGTGTGGTCCTCTGGTCAGTTGCGTAATAAATAAATTAATTAATGGTATGATCTACCTTAATTGCGTCTTGGAGTCGTCCCATTCAGTCTACCACTTTTTATATACGTATTAATATTTTAGGGCTTTTAGAAGAGTAATTATTGAAGATTGTAGCAGTTGTTTCAACATATTGTATGTGATTTTTTCATGTCTTTTAGCAGGGTCATTTCCAGTCTCAATGACATGTATGAGTTCTGCATGTTATCATATCATCGTATGGCTCATTATTATTATTTGAGTTGAAATTCAAAATATTTCTTTCTTCTGAATGATAAATTTTCTTGGAATTATTTAAACTATCATTTCATTTGATTGATAAAAGATATTATTGAAGCTTACATAGTTTGAGTTGCTTTCAGTGTTTTTATTAGTTATTTTGTTTACTGCTGACCATATTTTATTTGATGGAGTATTTTTTGTTATTGAAGCACTTTTTTTAATAGTTTAGTTTGACAGTGATGAAAGAGATAAACAGCAGTTCATTGCAACAATTTAGTCAGATTATTAAATTTTCAGTTTGAATCAAATCATTTTGTTAAAAGTGTTAGAAAAAAAATTAAAAAAGTAAAACAACAGCCTTTTATTCAATTTCATTTAGTGAAAATAAATATGTCAATTAATTTGATCATAAAAACATATAAAAATCAATAGTGATGTTAAAATCAGCAACTATGATGACTGTAGCATGTTTAGTGTGGAGTTATACTAATTACATTACCTTACAAGCATCACAATTCAACTGACCTATCATCATATGATGATTCCCTATTTATTAAATCTTTGAATCTATATTTTGTTGGTGTTATCCCACTTTTGGATTGTTTCAGACAGGGCTCCACATAACGTTCCTGCTCCATTTTACACCTTTTTCTAGTATAAATAATATGTAATCGTAATCTGTTATCATTGTAATCCACAATGCAAAGAAACAAATATATTATCTATTTTATATAATATAATACCTTTGTGGTGGTAAAATAGTTCTTAAATTGTGTGCCACAAAATGCTGCTACTGGTGTAAACTATTTTTTAATTTATTTCACAACTGCATAATATAACATTAAGCAAATAAATATAATGTGAAAATTTATTATTAAAACTTGAAGCACCAGCAAAGCATGTATGTATCTCATTTAAATTTTTATTTATTTAAATTTTAAATTACTTATTCATTTTTTATTTGATTATTTAATTTTAATATTATAATTTTGGTTTTATAAATTTATATATTATATCATATATTATATAATATTATTCCTTCAAAATTTTTTTATATTATCATTAATATTTTTATTTGTATATAATTCTATATTAATATTACAAATTATACTTTTATAGTTCATTTTATACTGTTTAGTTGCTTAATATTAATTTTTTCAATTCTTTTTTAATTGTTATAATATATTATTATTACATTATAAATAATAAAGAGTATAATTAATTATTATTTTTAATTTTTTTATAGTTGAATTTTGAACAGAGTTGAATTTTAAAGTTAAACAGAATTAAAATAAAATTATAAAATCAAACAAAAAATAACTTAATAAAATTTATTTAATAACATTATTAGAGAACATATCATATATAATAATAACAAATTTATAAATAACATTAAAGAATAAAAATTTCTTTAGAAAATTAAACTTTTAATAATCACCATGCCAACCAGAATTTATGCAAAGTTAATTTTGCAACAGAATTAACAACAAGTGATCGACCCAAATTTAATTGTACAATAATAAGATAGGAATGAATTAACTACGTCATAAAACTCGATGACGAAAACGTTGCATCTTGCGAGCACCGGAAAGATGAGCCGTCACCATGGACATATATAATATATAGATTTGGCAGACGCGTTATACATACATATATATATATATATATATATATATATATATATATATATATATATATGCATTGATCATATATATATATAACATCAAGGTCAATCTAACATATATTTGCTGAAAAGCAAATTTAAGTTAAAGTAAATAATCAGATTTTAGCCGGTTGTTTAGCGATTATCGTTCTAGTTGCTTTTTTGTCAATTTATTGACATTAATTGACGATAGTAAGGCGTTTGATCAAAAAAATCAATAAAATCAGACCCTCCATTTATCAGCGCATTCATCACATATCTACTTCGCCAAAAAAATAAATTCATGAGACCAGGATCCATCCTCAAAGCCGCAAATACATTAATAAACTGCAACCCAAAAACTTTCACTGACAGTAATTGGGAAAGCAAAGCCATATGGGACCAAGTCAACAAGATTAAAGACTCTGACAAATCATCCAACACATCAACATTACAGCCTATTGATGCCAACACACTCAACACCCACTTTTCTTCTATGTCAACCAGCCCGTCCTACAAAACTCCACCAATAAAAGCAACAACATTCAATAGTCGTCAACATTAACCATTTACTCCATACTCCGTCCTGCACATGCTAACGAAGGCCTATCCATCCGGTACAGGTCCAGACAGTCTACCAGCATGATTTCTACAAATCATCACTCCATTCATTTCCAGCACTTTATGTTTAATCTACAATCACTGCTTAATGCATTTATTTATCCCATCACAATGGGAATCCAGCACAATTCATCTAACTCCTACAACAAAATACCCATCATCATCAATAGATTATTGCCCAATATCTATCACCCCCATACTTTCACGTATTTTAGAAAAGTTCATTGTTAGATCATTCATCTATCCAGTTTTCAACCATCCATCCATCAAACCACTATTACAAGATCAGTTTGCATTTTGCCCTACAGGTTCATCTACATCCGCAATCATCTCTCTTACTTCCACAATAACATCTTTTCTTAAAAATAATGATTATGTTCATCTTATTGCTTTCAACTTTTCTAAAGCTTTTAACACTCCAATCACTTCTCACTTTCAAATAAGTTAGCCTTTTTTCCTCTACCTGACAACATTCACAATATTATAATAAAGTTTCTTTCTAATAAAAGTCATTCTACTTTTTTTTAGCTCTACTCTTTCATTTACTCTACCTATTAATTCTAGCGTAGTTCAAGGTTCTGTCCTTAGACCATTTACCTTTATCATCAGTGCTTCTACTCTCAAAACTTTTCATAGCTCTAATCACCTCATCAAATACGCTGACGACACCTACCTTATCATCCCATTATCTAACTCAAACACCATCCAATCAGAACTCGACTCATTAACTACATGGTCAAAACGGTGCAATCTGTTACTTAATCTTAATAAATCATTTGAACTCATCATTCACAATAGCCGCAAGAGAATAAACATTACCTCCAGAACACCCATCAATCACTCGCACAAGTCAGTTAAAAATTCAAGACTGTTCAAGAAAGTAGAAATTAACAACAACCACATCATCCATCCTCTACTACCACCAATTAAAACTACAACACACAACCTTCGTCAACACAAACATAACTCTCAAGTCGCCACTAAGAAAAAACTTTCATCACAAGACACCTCAAACATATTAACACTCATTAAAACTTTATCATTCACACAACTAGTTTTTATTTATCGATCACCTCACTCACTAAGTCATCATCTTTCTCAATTTTTGTTTTTTTTATTTACTTATTTGTTTAATTTTGTACTACTGCCTTGCATGCTGTAACAGTTTCTGCGTCTGTAAGATTCTGATTTTTAAAGAATAATACAAAAAAATGTCAATTACTACTGTTTAGGCGTTTAATTCCATAGAACTAAAAAAAATTAATAGGCAGGTAATTATTATGCCATATCCATTATATCTCAAAACTTATTTATAGGACGTTGCAAAAAGTATCTACATATTTTAAACACTTATAGTTTAAGTGTTTATTCTAATTTTATTATTTAAAAAGTGTAAATTAATAAATTTACTAGCTTATTATTCGAGAGTTAGCTACCAAAAGTTTTAACAATCGCGGACGACCCCTTCCTATCACTCCTTCAACCTCGAACTCTAACGCTCGCCTAATCTCGACCCTTTCATCCTTCACAATTGCAAACAAAAACAGTGATAACACTAATTTTTGATGCACTCCTACCTTAACACTAAAAGCGTCCGACATCCCCCTTCCGACCCTCACCTTTGTCTTCGCCCCTTCATACAGCTGCATCACAGCTTTAACAAGTCTCTCATTCACTCCTTTCTTCCTCAACGCCCATTCAATGACCTTCCTCGGTACTCGATCAAAAGCCTTTTCTAGATCCACAAAACACATGTACAATTTTCGTTTCTTTTTCCTATAATTCTCCTGCAACATTCTTACTATAAACAACACATCCACCGTTTCCCTACCAGGTATAAACCCACACTGCATTTCATTAACTGTCATTTTATTTCTCAACCTCCTCTCAAGCACCCTCTCCACTACCTTCATTCCATGCTTTAGCAATTTCACACCCCTGCTTTGCTACTTTGAACATTTTCCTCAAACTGACATCAAATTCCATTTTCCTCATTAACCTATCTGATGCTTTTGTCATTGCAGTTGCCACTGTCCGTTTTGTAGCCTTCTTAGTCTTCCTATACTCAGATTTCGCCTCCCCATCATGTCCCTTCTCCACACCCTAAACCTTTCTTTCTTGACCTCCAAAACCTTTCTCATATCTTCATCCCACTACCACGTCTCACCATGCCTACACTTTCCTTTCGTCCATCCACATACTTTATCTGCCGTAGCCAACACACAGTTCCTATATTTTTCCTAAACATCTCCATCCTTACCACTTTCCCAACTTTCAGCCACCTTTACTTCAAATGTCTTTCTCACCTCTGCATCCTGTAACATGTCTTTCTTTTTGCCACAAACTTATCTTTCTTCCTCCCCCTTATTTATTTTGATGCCACATCCATCACAACCATACTATGCTGCAACATACCAGATATCGCCTTTACATTCCTTACATACTTACTTTCTATGCTTCGCCCTTAGCAATATATATAATCTATTATTTACCTATGCTCCCCTGACCTATATGTAATTAATCGTGCTGGTTCTCTTGTAAACCAGGTATTTCCCACCACCATGCTAAGTGCATCCGCCAACTCCAACACTCTACGCCCTTCCTCATTCCGTATACCATATCTCCATCCCCCATGTACACCTTCATATCCGTCTGCATCCGCCTCCACATGACCATTCAAATCACCTAACAACACCACAAACTCATCCAACCCCTCTTGCCCAATCTCGTCAGAAACATCATCATAAAACCTATCCTTCTATTATTCCTATGATAGCAATGAGGGAATAAAATTATTTTTTATAGCAATGTGGAGCAGCCAGGATCAGCCTGAACAAAGCTCGAAGTTATAACTAGAGAAAATTTTCTGGCGATTTGATTAGTCATCCAATTCATTGAGGAGCGCTGTTGAACATCGCGGAAATAGCGCTTTACAATTGATTGATTGATTGACTGATTTATCTTGACAGTATGATCTAGACAAGACTATATATCTATATATGTATATATATATATATATATATATATATATTTATTTATATTTTATATATAGTATATGTTTAACTATAAGACTTTATATTTTTAAAATGATTTTTCACGTGATTAGGCGCAACCCAAAGCATATGACAAATGTAAATAAAAGCGGCGATTGATCGGCAGATTAAAGTTAAAACAGTCCTAACAAGCCAAGATTTAATTTTTGATGATTGATAGCTGGGGGCTTCTCAAAAAAGATGTTGAAGTTTATAATTTTGTTTTGTTGGTTGGTGACTTTGAAGTTTCCTTCGGCTGAGTGAGTTTATTATTTATTTATTTTTACCTTACGCTTACTAGTTAAAGTTAATAAATATAAAAATAATTTTAATTAATTATTTATTTTATTTTAATAATTTATTAAATTAAATTATTAATTACTTGAATGTGCCAATAAATAATATTGTTTTGTATAAAAACAAAGTAAATCAATTGAAAATTTGTTGAAAATTAAAATTTAAAATAATGAATCAAGTCTTAGCAAATGGGAAAAATAATATAAATATAAAATGAAATCTTATCTGAAATTTTAAAATAATCATAATAATAATAATAATGAATTATTAATTAATAAATGGTATCATTTAATTAAATAAAAATAACATATATATATAATTTTAATTTGCAATGAGTATAATTTAAAATTATATAAATTTCATATTTCTCGTTAGTCTCTTATCTTACTATCATGTATTAAATTGATTAATTTTTTTTTTTTTTGCCTTGATCATGCCAGCATTTTTATAATAGAATAGATTTACTTAAGACAAATTAGATGCAAAACTATCTTCATGATCTGACATTGAAACTACAGTTAACATCTCCTTATTATAATTTTTAAGATGTTCATTGAGAAAGCAGTTTATAAAGGAAACAATACATTATGATGGGGCTGAGGATCCTGGGTCTCCTTTATTTTTGACTCCTTACATTGAGAATGGAGATATAGATAAAGGTTTTTAAACAATATTTTTTGGTATTAAACTCTTATACATTATTACATTATGTTATAATACAATGTGGATGCTTTTTTTAGCTCTGGCACTTTCAAAGGTTAGATTGGAAGGGACCAAAATCGTCAGCTATTCTGGATTCTTAACTGTTAACAAATCCTCAGACAGCAATATGTTTTTCTGGTTTTTTCCAAGCCTGGTATGATTTTTTCAGATTTGTTCAAACATGTAGCTAATATAGATGTATACATTATAAATATTAACTAGAATGATGACCCAAGAGATCCTGTGTTATTATGGCTACAAGGTGGGCCTGGTGGATCTTCACTATTTGGATTGTTTGTTGAGAATGGTCCATTTGGAGTTAATGAGCAACTCAAACGTTTGTTTTTGTTATGAATTATTTTTATTATGTAGTTAAGTATTCTTTATCTACATTTGCAGTATTTGAAAGAGAATATACATGGAACAGAAAGTACAACCTGTTATTCATTGACAATCCTGTTAGTTTTTTTATTGCCAAAGTTATATTATTCTCATATGAAGATCTTTTACACTGAACAGATTGTCCAAAACAAATTGATCATTATGTTATCATTTTATTATTAAATAATTGCATACATTTTGGCAGAAGAGTTCAAAATATTTTAAAGATGTTAATTTTATGACCTACTATTTTTTTGGTTACAGACATTTGTAACTGTGTAAAATATCAAACCAAAGCTTAGGACTTTATGGTAAAGTTTATTAGAATATTAAAAAAATGGGAGACTTATTGGAAAATACTCTGGATTAATTGTTTGCTTTTAAAAATTTTGATAATTATTTTTAAAATTTATTTTCTGCTCTGAATGTTTAGGTTGGTACTGGATTTAGTTTTGCAAATGATGATGGCTATGCCAGAAATGAAGATGAGATCGCCACTAACTTATATGAGTTTGTTTGATTTGTTTGTACTTCAAATTCAATTTACTCAATCACAATATTGCCAGGTTGGTAAGTCATGAGAGCCATCATAAAATTGACCGAAATGTTGTAAGAGGAGTTGGAAGTAAATTTTAGAGATAAGAGCCAGAGAAAGTTCAAGCTGATTTGAAATATTCAACAAAGATAATAGACTAAAGAGAATTAGAAAAGGGTCTTAATACTGTACATTTGGGTTTGCTTACAATTCTGAAATAAGCAAATTGTTATTTAGGGTAAAATATCGAAGAAGAAATTAGGCTTGTAAGTTTGATACAAAAAACATCAACTCAGGAGTGAATAAGATTGAAGATAAGTAATAAGAAGATTTAAAAGTTTATTTAACAAGAGGAGTGAAAATTTTTTTTGTATTGAAAAATAGTTTAAATGATCAGAACATTATCTGGTTTGTGGTTGTATAGTTGTTTGGTAAGAGAGGGCATAGTGGAAAATATGGCAAATTTCAAATATGAGATGTAGTAGCTTCTGAAGGATATCTAATTTTGTTATTTGCTTCTTCTAAAATGCTAAATAGGTAACTTAAAAATTTGACTAGATTTTAACATAAATGTTTTTGATTCATTGACAAAATTTTTTGCTATTTATACCCTAACCTTTGTTTGTGTTAATTCTCGCAGATATAATTTGATGATATATAAATGGGTGTCATAATTTATTTGTATGCCTATTGTTAGCATTTATAACTGTTAAACTCAAACATACAGGGCACTACTGCAGTTTTTTGATTTGTTTCCTGATTTAAAGGGGAACCAGGTCTACCTAACAGGAGAGGTAAAATTCAAAAGCCTAACACTTTTTTTCATTAACTATTATGTTCTACTTTTTCAAGTCCTATGCAGGCAAATATATTCCAACTCTAGCAAATAAAATTCATACTTCTCCAAAACCAAAGAAAATTTATTTGAGGGGGGTGGCCATTGGAGATGGCTTTACTGACCCTCCGGTGGTAAGTCTCTTTGTAGCACTTTTATTTTTTCTTGTTTTCAATTTTGACATCCGTTAGATTTTTACCTGTTTTTTTTATTATGTGACAGATGATTCACAGTTATGCTGACTACTTATATGAAATTGGTCTCTTGGATTCAAATCAGAGGGATTTTTTCAGAAATCAAACAGACCTATGTGGAAAGTTCATGGAGAATAAGAAATGGGTTGAAGCTGAAAAAGTATGTGGTTGTGGTTTGGAAACGTTTAAAAAAAGGTAAGTTAAACAAATGTATTTTTTTTTAGATATTTGATCTGCTTCTGAATGCAGATATAATCAATGGATCATCTTTTTACCAAAACTGCACTGGCATGTCAAATTACTACAACTACCTTAGAACTGTTGTAAGTTTAATACTTATATAATTTGCATGCTTGTTAACATAATCTAGTAGTTTAAAAAACTTGTAATTTAACACTCAGGAACCAGTTGAATACGGGTATTACAGCAAGTTTATAACAACAGCGCAAGTTAGGAAATCTATTCATGTGGGTAATCTACCATACCAATCAGGAAACAAAGTGGAAACATTTCTATTGGAAGATTTTATGCAATCTGCTAAGCATAATTTAATACCGATCATGAACCGTTACAAGGTTATTTTATCTTGATTTTTATATGGTCACACGGTCAGTCAACTCACTAAAATAAAAATAACAGGTATTGCTATACAGCGGTCAGTTAGATGTCATAGTTGCCACACCCTGCACATTCGATATGATAAACAGCATGGATTGGAATGGGGCAGAAGAATTCAAAAGAGCAAGACGACTTGTATGGAAAGTTAGCCCAGATGATGTAGACGTGGCCGGATATGTCAAAAGAGTTCATGACTTTTATTTTGTGAGTAACCATTTCACTTCCTATAAGTTTGTTATGTATATATATACCATTTAATCAAATATTTGCATTCTTACAAACATACTAAAACTTCATAACAAATCATGTTTTGTGATCATTCACAGACGACATGAGCAGTAAATACATTTAAAACACTCTAGTTTTTCCAAATGCAACATTGTTATAAGGCGGAAAAGTATATCCCATTGAAGCTATTAGCATAGTTGGAAGTATGGTTGAACAATTTAAGTATGCTGTGATCTAAATAATGTATTCTAAATTACTCTTCTAAATTAGAAGAGTAACGACTAAACTGATTAAAACAATGAAAATATAGAATGATTTTTAAGATTTTACAAAAATTTCCAAGTTTGGAAATGATGACAAGAGTAAAAAGCCAGAGTATGGACTATTATTGTTTGGATCAAATGAAGAAAAGCTTGAAATAGCAGAATTTTCCAACAAACACTCCTAACAAACTATAAATAAAGCAATATACATGTATACGTATACGCCTGAACTCTGTTACATTTGGAATGTGAGGTTAATTTAAGAAAAAAGTTAAAAGGTGAAAATGGAGCATAATTTTCTTGGTAGCGATATCAGAAATAAAAACATTATATCAGTTTTTGAATGCTGGGAATGCATATATAAAAATAGGCAAGGATTTTTGTGCTTGTTACATTTTGTTGTGGTCATCACGATGAATTAGGGATTTGAAATGCAGTAAAACTTCGGTGTAACGTACTTCTGCGGATCAGAAAATTTGTACGTCTTATTCGAGATTCGTTTTAACCAACTCAAAAATTTTTGGAAAATTTTCAAGCAAAAAACTATTTCATTCTAAAATTTGTATTTTTACAATTAAAAAACAAGTTTAAATACTAAAATTATAACATTTTAATAGTTAAGAAAAATCAATTGGCTAATTTTTGATTTAAATCTAACGCCTCACGTTTTTGTTTATACTTTCTTACATTTTAGGATCTAACGCAAAAGAATAAAAATCCATCGATTAAATAAATATAGGTAAAATATTGGGTTTATTTATCAACAGACTCAAACTTCAGTACTCGTTGTCAAAAGAGCTTTATATTTGCGTACATCATATTTCTATATAAAAAAAAACACGTAAAAATGTTGGGACCGTAAACTTTCGTGCTTTACACCCGAGGGTACTTTGTTACCGAGTACTTAATTACAAAGTTTTACTCTAGTTTGGATCTGAATTTAACATGCATCTGAGTACTTAAGGGCAATTTTTAAAACAAAGTTAATCAGTTCTTTAGTTAACAAATTTTTCATTTGTTTCATCCTCAATAATAAAACAATTATTATGTATTTTTGTTTCAATCTACATAACGCCTCTATCCTGCTCTACACATTCTTTCAACTCAGGTAACCATCAAAGGTGCAGGTCACATAGCTCCCTACGACCAACCACGACGCTCTTGGGATATGTTGGATAGATTCATCTCCGGAAGACCTTTTAAATAACTTTTGATTTTATCAACCTTATTTGACTATTTGAAATTATTTCCATTATGAACCATACTTGTAATTCATTCCTTGAACCGATTTTTGCTGCTAAATATATAACACCAAAACCAATAAATTTTATATTGACAAGATTTGAATAAATAAAGAACATCATTATGAAACTTCTGAAAATTTACAAAATGTACAATTATTATGGGAATTAATAAACATTTAATTTTCTTTAGTAATAATCTAAATTATTCAAAATAAGATGACAAAATTAAATCAATACGGATGCTGCTCAGTTCAAATTAATGAAATAGGAAAACGAATTTTAATATATTTACAAAAAGACTGTACAGATGATTAATTGTAATTGTTCAAATTTATTGAAATTTGAGTTGATTTGAATGCATGATGTTTTGAGTTTTTAAATCTCGTGGTTTAACTGATCAATTGACTAGATTCAGCCAAAATGGTTTTTAGTATATTTAAATTTAAAAATTAACAAATGCAAATAAGTATTGAATGTTTGGTGTGTATATTATATTTATATATTTTTTAAACTATATATATATATATATATATATATTTATATATGTATATGTATATCAATATATATATATATATATATATTGATATACATAATATAAATATACAGATATATATATTAGTTTAAATAAGCACAAGGAAGAAAAGTCCAAACTGCTACGTGTATGATGAACAAATGTCTAATATCTCAGCCAGCGTAGATGTCATGCTAGTGTTGCTTGGCATTTTGTTACAGAGCAAGTCAATTATTCTTTCTTTATGTTTCAGTAAATTTCGCTTCACTTGCTTGCATCTCCTTTCATCAGAAACGTCTGCTTGCGAGTTACTTATGACCAAGATGACGTGCTTTATAACGAGGACAGCTCTTTTCAACATATCTGGACTGTAGTCGTTGTGTGGAGACGTTGACTGTAGAGATGATGACGATGCAGAAGGAAGGTTGGGTTGCATCATTTTACAGCACTGAACCTCAATGAATGATAGCAATGAGGGAATAAAATTATTTTTTAAAGATAACATTGTAGAGCAGCCAGGATCAGCCTGAACAAGGCTCGAAATTATAACTAAAGAAAATTCTCTGGCGATTTGGTTAGTCATCCATGTCAGAGGATCATCATCTGTGTCAATTCCGTTGTCACTGGCACATCCTGAAATGATTGCATCACTCAGTCGACTGAGTAACAAAACTATTCGCGAATATGGTGGTGTTGCGACAAGAAGATCTGCATTTGAATCTAAAATGCAAAGTTTAGATGCGGATTCTAAAGCTAACATAAAAAATGATGGGTTTATATCATTATAATCGGCAAACGTTGAATACGCTGGACAGATGGCTTTGGATACGTTGCTGTCTTTTGCTATGAATGAATTACAAGTGCACCAATGAAGAAGTCCATCCAAAATGGGAGCACATATCTCCTCGGGATATATGGAAAGATCTAACTGTCCAGTAATGTTTGAAAGGATAACTAACGCGTCTTCTCTGAGAGTTTCCAAAGTCTTATATGAAACAACTACATTCTCTGCTTTTGATATTTTGGTTTGCTTTAACAGGAATTTGTCTATTGGATTGAGTGACTCAGATTCTAAGCACTTTACCTGACTAATGTCTGGAGTGTTTGATGTTACTAAGTTTTCTGTAGCAACCGTTTTTTTATGTTCGTGACCAAGAAGAAGAATTCGAGCAATGATGATAAGGAGACCAGGCTGTTTAGAAAATTCAACATCATTTGAAGGGACAAAAGAAAGACTCCTGAATATGTTGGAAATCTGCAGACATTTACGTTCCAACTCGACTAGGCATTCATGATTGGTGTTGAAACTATTATTATCTTCTTCATTAAAAGATTCGTATACTTCAGCATAATCATCGTTTGGTGATGAAGAATTAAAAATACAGAAATCTTTACACATCTCATGGTTACAAGTTATTTCTTCAATTTTCTCTTCATTAACAAAAATTTTTTGAAGGTCTTCATTGTGACTGTCTGGCAAGGTCAAAACAATATTCGAACTATCACAATCTAGAATTTTCTTATTTTTGCTTTTTTGAATTGAAACACTTAGCCTGTTATTTCCAAAAAATTGTAGTTCAGAAAACTTTTTTGTAGTTGAACTTTCCATGCTTAAATAGATGTGTTTTGTTGAATCTCCTCTACCTAACTGCCAGTCGAGTGGTGAACTTTCAAAGTCATCTCTTCCATGCTCATCCCATTTCTTTTCATCTTTCAACCATTTCTCTTCAGATGAATCTCTTTTAAATTTGGAAGCACCGCTTTTATGATTTCCTTTGACTGACATATATACGTTCTTACAATTAAGCGGATTATAAGTTACAGAGTTGTTATTATTTAAAATGTTGATTTGATGCTTGGAATCATCTTTACTATGTTTTACAGATGAACTAGGTCCCAATAAGTCGCTGGTCAATAAAGCAATAATTTTTTTGTCAGCTTCCACATAAGTGTTATCACAACCATCTTGGAATATCCAATTGAGTTCTAGATCTTTGAATTTTTCTTCAAAAAGTGAAATGAGAGTGGCCCGGAAGTGATCAAGCAGGGTTTCCATTAGACCAGGCATATGATGCAATCCGAACCATTGTATGGCATTATCATCTGCTAAAAGTCCAGTGAGAACGTTGAGGGCCCATGAACACTCAGACATCAGTCCTGATCTCAGAGACATCAAAATTTTCCATGGGTCAACTGATCCTGTTTTTTAAATAAAAATATATTATAATAATTATTATTACTAATAATTCTCTTTAAATCTCAGAGACTTAACGACACGCGCAGTGCACGCGAATACGCGTGAATCAACGCATCACACATGTTGCATATGATAGGCTGGAATATCTTTGCATTCAAACCTGGTCACTGCAACAACAGGATCAGGTGCTTTAACCGTCACACCATTTTTGCCACTCAAATAATCAATTTAAATCAAATGTTCATAAAAAACAATTAACTGAAAGTCCACTAAATCTCTATTTGTGACTGGTGGCGACGTTAATAATGATAATAAAAATAATAATTAAGACTACTTATCCAATAAACCTTCTAAAAACTTAGTTGAAAATAAATAATTTCAGTTCTAAATGGTGCTTATGTTAAAAATTGTGAAATTACTAATGAAATAAATTACCAATTTGTTTCTGATTGTATCTTTTCCTTCTGTTGCATTTGGGTCTGACTGATTCAATGCAGTTACTAGGAAACATCAGTTCTTTCTGAATATGGCTTCCCAACACTCTCTGTATGTTGATAAATTAAAGTATATCAGCAACTTTAAAAAAATATACATACAACTTTGTCAGTGGTGCAAAAATTCAAAATTGAATAAATACAAAGTAAATTATACGTTTAAATGCGCTATTACGCAGCAAGACAAAAATAACAAAATATAAACCGTTACATGAAAATAAAAGAAAATTTTGTCGTAAAAAAAGATACTAACTCTGTCAACTTTCTGTGGGGATGGAGGTTGGCAGACCATTTGTAGATGTTCATACGAAGGGGGGGCAGGGTGGTGGTGCTTCATAGCACGAGCTCCTACAACAAATTTTATATACAAATGTGTGTTTGCTGTAGTCTGTGTGTTCAACGATAACATGTATCTGTATAGCAATGACATATATGTGTATAACGTGTATGTGTCGCTTAATGCGGAACGATCGCCAACAATTCACAGCTCAACTTTGTCATTCTCTATGAAATCCAACGTTCCTTTTATATATATTCGGATTCGTCGTTACTACGTTTTACAGGTCCTAATAAGTCGCCAGTCAATAAAGAACTAAATTTTTAATAAAGTTAATTGGACACAAAAAAGACAGTGTTCTTCTCCTCAGTGTTGGTAAATAATGGTAGACACAAAGATTTACAATCATACGATCACATAATTTCACAATCACATAAATTTTACAAGCGTATCAATCTTACAATCACATCAATTTTACAATCGCCTCAATTTTACAATCATATCAAAAGTAAAACAAAGAAACAAAGATGAACACTAATTCCATAATTCAGCAGTAAAATAAATCGCTATACATTAGGTTCAAGCGTTTACACTTTAAGATAAAATAAGGAAATACCAAATGAACTGTGGTCGTTGAAGGGTTGTGGCCTACTGTAAAGATCCACGTTGCTGCTGTTGTGATGGAATGCATCCGCCGGTGGATAGAGGATGGGTGGATGAGGTGATGCAGAAGAGAAGGATTGATGGTTACTGAAAAAATGTTAATCAAAATTTTTAACTGTAGCCAAAAATTGCAGCGTTGTTTAAGTAAAACCCACGTCTACAGTCTGTGACTTTATTATAAGAGACTTTACATTCCTACAAAACAATATTCTATTTAAGGGATTTCGGTCTAGTTTAAAAAACGAAATATTAAAAAGCTATGGCGAGCAGAAAGTACCTGGATCGAGGAGCAGGCGGAAATGCCTCCTGCAGACGAGGAGAATTCTGAAATTCCGCCCGAGGATCCAAATTAGGATGATCTGTTCAGCATCAATATTATTGTTATCATTCGTACTTATTATTATTACTATTACCTTTATCATTATTAGTTTTCAGAATAAATTAGCATAATTAATGTACATATGCAATAGAAAACGTTAGTGTATTTAGAGTAAAACACAAAATAGCAATTTCTCATCTTCAACAACTTACGAATAAGACCTGTTATGCATTTGAAATGAACATTATGCAAATGCAGTAGGGTAAAATTTACCTAAAAAATGATTTAAGGAAGCAAAACAAAACTTACCTAATACAGAAGATTTGTCACCATTAGATTTCTTGCTTGATTTTTTGATTGGTTGTTCAAGGTAGGCAAGTATAGGAGCAGGATCGATGTTGCCTCTATCATGGAAACATTCAAATGGAAAGATGGATTTGCCATAATTCTTCTTAACAACGAAACCTGCACTGCTCGATGGTCCCATGTTCAGAGCACTGCTTACATCTCTCCACTTCTTGTTTTTTGAAACCTTTCAATTCATTAAATTTTATATTAACAATGTTTTGACTTCAATCAATATTAAAACGAAAATTTAAGAATTAAGACAGGTTTAACCCTTTCATTATCTTAATATCTTCTTTATGCAAAATATCTGCACTGCCCAACGTTGGGAATCCAACCAAATTTTAATTGCACTGTCTCTAGTCTTTCCTCATTTTCCACAATAAAATCAAGGCAGTTGATATTGCTATTAACTTTTTTTTCTTTATAATGCAGCGCTGTCAAACACAGACCCGCTAACGTTCTATACTTATTAAACCTTGTGTGCCCTTTACAGCACACAATGAACATACACATCTTGTAAGCACGCGCAAGCACCGCATCATGCGCGCGAGCATGGCGTACGATGATAGTCTTTAAGTTCGGACAGACAGCATTCGAACCAGGCCATCGCATAACAACAGCAGCACTGGCACTTCTAACAAGCTGAGCTACTAGCTGAAAGTAAATAGTACAAAATGTTTCTGTCCTACATTTATAATTTCAACTGGACGCGAGAAAAGTTTTATATTTATAAACTGACATTGACAGTTAAAATTAATTTTAATATTTTTCATAAAATTGGGTAAGAATGTAATAATAGTTATAATGAATGTATAATAACCTCAACCATGCCTCCAAACTTCTTAACAATGCAATACAATTTGAATAAATCGATCGGTTGTTTGCTAACAGTTGGAACGGCTATGATTGGTGATTGCTTGCTCTCCATGAAGACGAAGAGATCATGCAAGAAGTTGCGTCTGTCTGGTTCATCTCCCATTTCCATCAATTTCACAAATGCTTCATTCCTGCTTAGTCGTTGCTGCAAAGAAGAAAGTATATACTTTATATATTTAAAATAAATAAACATGGCAAAAGAACTACTATACAAATAAAAATAAAGTAAAAATTTAGTTGCAAGAAGTAGCAACTTTCGTGATTTCGTCAAGCACATTCATTTGATTTAACCAAGTCAACATTTTAAATTCTTTAGTGTAAGCTCAATAAAAAGCGTAATCATATTTTAATAAACGAAACAATGAACGTTAATGCTGTCAGTAAGTACATTTACAGTTTAGTTAGAGGATGTTTTAATTAAAATTTTTTATGAAAATCAACTCACAATCATTATATTTATAGTGAAATAAAAAAAATTTCACATGAAAAATTATTAGAAATACCATATTCATGTGGAATGATTGATCTCTGGGTGGCATGGAATGCATGTGTACTGGTGGTTCAAAGTCCGCTGGATACTTTGACTGCAGAGAAATTTAATTATTTCATAGCTGTATATTATTATTATAATACCAATAATTAATTTGTATTAAATTATTTCATAATTACAAATTATTATAACCAATAATTAATTGTATTAAAATTAAACCAAATATTTTACGCTGTGTTCCTAATAGACCTAATTTTACCACATCTCTCAAATTTTGCATCAAGCAGATGAATTTTTATAAATTTTTAAACATGTATAAGACTTTTTATATAGTCACAAATTTCAATTGTTTTAAAAATGTTTTCAAATTTTCAAATACACAAAATAATATTTATTCCAATAAAAAAGCGTTTCATCATTGACAAAAAATTGTTAGAGGCTTGAGTAGCATTGACTAACTGAGAATGACAATAGCCTTCCAATACTCAACAACTTTTTGACCTCTCGTAACCTTGAAATTTCTACAGATAAATAACAGTTACTCTCATCACCCATCACACAACCCAATATCACAATCACCCCTCTCGTCAACAGTTGTTACTACTGCTCAAACACAACCTTAAGATTCTTTAACCTTACATTTGATCCTACGCTCACCTTCACTGCTCACCATAACAAATCAGCTCTTCCTGGTGCCTCATTTGGTCAAGACATATAAAAAACCATCAGAAGGGCAGTGCTTGAATATGCATGTCCAGTCTGGGTCTCAATCCTTTCAAAAACCAATTTAACTCGCCTACAAACCATATCATCTGCTGCCCTTCTTGCCATCATAACTCGTCACAAAACCTCCGCCATACAACATCTTCACTCAGAATGACAAATTCTGAACAACACACACACCTCCTTTCCACTCAACAACATTCCCTACAATGCTATTATACAACATCAACCATGCCTGCCACCAAATCACAATGCAAACTCATTGTCCTTGTGAAATGAAAGAAACACTCCTTCAAAATAAAACAACAAGTGATACATCAAGTGATGCCTTCGGATAATACCTTCACAATTCCTCCATAAAAATTTTATTTAACAACTACATACAATGACAGTTAAAAAATCCATTTATTTGTACCAAGCATTGGATAAACTCCTCCCATAATTACAAAAAATTAGTCAGAACAAAAGCTACCAAGATCCATTAGGCATATACTGGTACAATTTTGATCTAGCCATAGCAACATCCTTTATAGCTACAAATTAAAACAAAACAACATCAACAACATCTGCATTTTTTTGCCATCTCCAACTGGATGATGTGCCAGACTTCTTCAATTGCATCAACAACCTCATTCATCTTAACACAATAGAGCTTTGGGCGAGCTGATAAGCTGGTGTCAGAAAGCATAGGGCAGCAGCAGCAACAACAAAAATTAAATGTGCACAAACCATTTTCATCTTTTTTGATGGATGATCTGCGCTGGTCTCCTCAATGAAGTTCTCGTTGTTAGGAGGTTGTGAAGACGTACCTGGATAACTTAACAGAGTGTCACTTGTGCTACCTGCAAGTTTAAAATGAATATGTAAAGACATTTTGTTAACAATAATATATTTATCGTGATAATATAATAACGATATAATAATATTGATATTATCATTAATAACAATAATGATGTTAATAATGATAAACAACTAATATTCAATTTATGAAAGCTAAAAACTAGAAGGCATGTAAACTTTTCAGTAAGAGGAGCAATAAATAAATAAGAAGCAATTCGTAAACAAGAGCAGTGAGGAGGTTGTACGTGATCGATCAACAGAAAAGTTTGATCAGCTTGTACCTGATTAACCAAAGAGGAAAGTTTGATGCTGGTGTGAAGCATGAAGAAGGTGTAATGAAAAACAACTAGAGATAGATGTCAAGATAGATGTCTTCAAAAACTGCTCTGATATAAAACTTTTACGGGAATGGTTGGTAGAAATTGAATGGAAGAAAATTTGAAATGGAAGCGAGGCTAGTTAGGCCACTTGAATTAAAACAAACATTTCATGAAACAAAAACTCATTAAGAATTATTTTATAAACGAATGCTCATTATAAAACTATAGCCAATGCATGATTGCTACTGGAGATGTTACATTATTAAAAAATCATAATCAAATTTGATCAACAAGATAAAACAAATTGTATGAGCAAAAAAATAAAACCAAATAAATTAAAAGTTTTTCTGTTGATTCAGCATCACCAACTCAAACAAATTTGAAATAATAAAATGAGAAAGTAGAGATAGCATGCAATGATGCCATTACACAAACTTTCATCAGTGACTACGGAATCTCCCATCATTCGGCTGTTGTCATCAGTAGCATCTTGCGACGAACTCTGATCATCGATGCTGCTACTCATCTTTCTATCAAACTGCTGCTTTTTTTCCAGGGGGTAATCAATATTTTTCTGCTGATAAAAATGTTGCTGTTGGTTGTACATTTGTTGCTGCGGATGCTGTTGAGGATATGGATTGAACATGTGCTGCGGAGGATGAGGAGGATAATTCATTCCAAAGTGTGGTGGCTGCTGTTGTAGATGAGGTGGATATGCGTTGTAAAATGGAACTCCCGGTGGTCGAACTAATTCACCATCGTGATATCGTTTCTGTGATCCAGGTGGAAACTGAAGATGTTGTTGAAAATGTTGCATTTGATTTGGAAGACGCATTTGTTGTTGTTGCTGCTGATGCTGCAGTTGAAAGTGCTGCGATTGTTGTTGTTGATATTTCTGCTCTTCTTTTGTATGTTTCGTTTCATTCTCAATTTTATCCGGTTGAGGTGTTAAAACGCTGTCTAATGTATTTGTTGTGTGAAGAAATGGTGCTGATGGCTTTGGAGATGATAGTGTATTTGTGGTGGATAGTGTGGTGACAGTTGCTTTAAGTTGATCAACAAGCCTAGGGTACATGGATGATTTACTCTGTTGTGTGATTGTGCACGTGGTTGTGACTGTAGAAGAGGATGGTATTATTGCTGTTGTCTCTGGATCGTCAACTTTGCTTAAATCATAATTTTCTGTTGTGTTCAATGAGTTGCCATTATCCTCGTCTGTGGTCTCACCTTCATCAGTTTTATCATCATCTTCTTCTTTCTCTTCACCACCATTGACATCATCGGCTTCGTCGACAGAACCTTTCATCATTTTAAATTTCATGGCATGTACTTTGTTCTGGTTATCTTGGTCATCACCATTTTTGTGATTTTCACCCTCGGCCTTATTTTTTGCATCAGTTGCATCCACACCTTGCTTTACGTTTTGAGAGTCATTCTTGTAAATTGTTTCAGAATTAATTTGTTCTGCTGATGGCTGGACGACATTGTTTTTATGCACCTCTTTTTCATGTTGTTCCTGAATTTGTGACTGCTGCTTTGAATCAGGTTCATGTTTTTCAAACTTTGCAGATTCAAAAAACGTATTTTGAGGATCTTGTTGTTGGAAATGTTGTTGCTGCATCATTTGCTGAGGATGAAATTTAGACTGCATGTGCATAGGCTGTTGTTGTTGTTGTTGTTGGGATGCATAACTTTCATATGGTGCTCTGTAGTAAGGAGGGTAGTCGGCAACCTGGTTGAACATCATTGCATGCCTTGGTTGGTTGTAATAATTCATATCTGGTCTGTATCCAGATTGTTGCTGTTGAGGTGGCTGCATGTTCTGATGTCTCATCATAACATCCTGGGCACCGTCCATGCGACCGTTCAACCAATCAGGTCCTGCTCCTCTGACATAAGGTCGGAAATCCTGGTAGTTTCGAGAAGGATCTCGCATTCTGTACCCTGGAGGAAGATTGGGGTTTGGAGACCTCATGGCCATCTGTGGATGATTGTATGGAAAGCCGGACGATGGCATGCCACCATTTGTTTGATCAGATGGATTGAATGGCATGGTGGAACCTGAATATGTTCAAGATTACATTTTATCTTTCAATTGAAGTACTTTTAAGTAATTAAATAAACGATCGATAGCGTGAAAAGATTGCAATCAAAATTAATTGTAAAAAACAATAACCAACAGTGGATTTAAGTGCATTTATAAATACAACACCAAGTTACAAAAAAGTACCACAAAGTAAATCAATGAATTAAACATTCCAGAAATATATTTTAAATTAAAATAGAAGTAAATATTTTTTTAATAAATGGAAATAGATAAGTTCATTTTAAATGTTTTCAGTTTATTGAAAATAAAAGTAAAATGGAATTAATAAAAAAACCAAATAAATTTATTGAAGTGATGTTTTTATTTTTTCATTATCATTTAATTAAAAGCATCATTGATTGAATGGAGACAACCAATCCAATCCACCAATCCCCACAATCAGACTATGTAGGCTGTTATCTCAGCATAATATAGAAAGTTAGTTATGCACATAGTTATAGTTGAGACTTAAGCATCTCTTTGGGTTGAATATGAATAAAATATACATTCCCATTCCTCTTTCCTTATTGAATGTTTAAGGTAGTTTTAAAAGTTTCAATTCTTGGTATTGTTGGAACTGCCTCAATTAGCAGAGCACCATGTTTTAGCCTGTACATTTCAGTAACTTCGTTCATCAGTAGCTTGTAGATCATTGGATTAATGAAAATATT